AATTACAACCTTCGGATTCGTACTTGTGATGTTCTCTCATACATATTCAAGTATATGTACTGTATGTGTTTACTGCTTTCCCCAGAATGTTCTTTTTTTTCCTTCTTATTGCTTTTGGTACCCTTCTTTAATCCTTTAATCCCTGAGAGTGACAAGCATCTACTGGTAATTTCTCCTTTGAATATCACCCCTGAATCAAACATTAAGGTCATGAGAATAAAGGAAATGATAATCAATTAGAGAACCTCTTGGTTGTTAAAGAAATTCTCCTTGCCAGCACTAAGGAAATTCATAGAGAACAGTAAGGAGAATATGCATACTGATGTTAGGGTGTAAAGGGTTAAGACTTTTTATCCATATGCAGTCAATTTGTTCATTTGTATACAATATTTGGCAAGATCATTTAAAACACAGATCTTGGCTTGTGTTGTGCATGTTCATAAATGTTTCAATGTTAAGTTTTTTGTCATAACTGTGCCAGGTTGAAATTTTGAATTGCTCATCACTGCAGGAGTCTATGTTTGTCTTTCTCTATAAACTCAAACAGCTTGTTGCTCCCAAGAATGTGGGATACTTCTAAAATTATTTTTGGATTATTGATCTGAGAAGGAAATGTTTATCTTCACTCCTTTATGTTTTGACTTTCTTTTAGTTCAGAGGTTATCAATGAAGGTAATAGTTGTTTTCATATGAAATTTTCAAGTTTGTTTTTTTTGTTTTTGTCGTGAGTGGAGTTGTTTTTTATGGATGATCATGAGGAAAAATGGGCAAGTGTTGTTTTTCATGAAAACTTTCTTGAACTCAAGAGTTTTACCCTAATTGAGATGCTCTATGAAAGAGTCCCGTAACATTTATTTATCAAAATGTTAGCACAGAGAAGCAGATAATCGCAAAGTTGATCATATCTTTTTGCACAACATTTTTGGGTGGTTTGTTTAATCGCTGATGAAAAACATATGTTTTAGATTTTGTGTGATTTTATGAAATTGTTCTTTAAAAAAAAACAATTTTCAACTCCAAGAGATAAGGCTATCTAATCAATTTAAATAATTGGAATTTGTGCATTGTTAGGAATGTCAAATGAAAAGTATTGTGTAACATACACCACTCAAAAACTGTGCACTCTTCAAATCAGTAAATAATTCCATTAATAAAACAAATTTTGGCCATTTTTTTCTGATTTTGAGCAACCAAACACACACTTAAGCAACCAGCAAATACCAGGGTAATGCGAATGGTCAGATATTTTTGAGGCGTGACCCTTGACACTTGAATATTAACGACTGAAGTTAATATATTTACCCTCAAATTATACAAGAGTTGCTTACAGGTTACCGGCCACCAAAAATACAAGTAACCTTAAGAGTAAAAAATTTTAAGCAACAAAATCATGGGACACTCATAAATTTATGAGTGTCCCATGATTTTGCGGTTTCAATATGTTTAAACATATTGAAACAATCATGTGAATCTTGCTCTAGAAAAGCTCCAATCTGTAGTTTTACACTTCACCTGTAGGTACATGTCAGTATCAATTAGTTTATGAATTTAAAGTAAGATCTAGTTCAGAACTTTGCAAATTGTAAAGTACCAGAAAAAAAGTAACAGACTGTAACACGAAATAAATTGAATTTCTCACTGCCGCTTTGACCCTTCAACTCCCAGAAGTAACAGAAAATTAATGTGACTATAATATCCAAACCTTATCCATTACACACGTAATGAGAATACTCAAAGTTATTATCTTGATCTAATATTACCAGATTCCTGAAACGAATAACGAATAATACCACGCATTGCAAGCGTCATTTCTTGCAAGAAACCAAATAAATCACATTTTTAGAATTACAAGAAAGTCTGGAATGAATTGAGTATTTTTTGCCCGTCTGAAAGCTAAGAAATTACTTAGATTCAACAAAGAAGTTTCGACAGAGGTCGCATCTATTCCTATCGCATTTGAAGCAGCCATTGTTGTGATGAATTGTTGGTCCCTCGTTGACAGTTTTAAAACAGGATTGTGCTGATAATTCTTTGAGATTTTTTGACCGACGAAAAGATGGTATGATAGCACCTCGAGGAAAAAGTTCTTTTAATTTGGGGTTGGATTGTAGAATGAACAAATGCTTTCTGATTATGTTGCCTACGTCGGGTAAATTTGGATTAAATGCGATAACAAATGGAAATGATTTCTTCGTTTCTTTTCCACGAGTCCTAAGTAAATCATTTCTAGGAATGGCGAAGGCTTTGGAGAATTGATCCGAAACTAATTTAGAGGGATAGCCCTGGTTGACGAGCTACTCTTTGTACTCAGCTGTTCTCTCGGCAAGAAAAATTTCTTAAGAGCAATTTCTTTTCAATCTTGTGGCTACTCCAAAAGTAGTAGCCTTGAAAACATGCTTAGGATGGCAGCTAGAAGGTGAAAGATATAAGTGACTATCTACTTTGGAATAGGTTTGGAATAGACTTCTGTCCTAATAAATCCATCGATAAGGTATAAAGTAAGATCAAGTACGTGAAGCTCACGCTCAGAAAAACTAACTCAAATTTAATGGTAGGGTACAGAGAATTAATGTAATCAGTAAATTGATGTAGGATAGGAAGGCCTTGCTGCCAAAGATCAAATACATCGTCTCGATATCGCCACCATAAGGACGGCTTTATCGGACGAGAAAACTTAGCTCTGAGATCAATTTCGCCCATGGCTAGATCGGCATAGCTACAAGCATTCTTTGGACCCATAGCTGTGCCATGGATTTGAAGAAAGAAATTCTGAACAAGATGTAATAAGTCTAAGCGGGTTGCCTGTTTTGTGCGTTTTGATGTTTCCAAACGCAACTCCTTGTCTCGCTTCTTTATTTAAAACCCACTTAGCTACTTCGGGAGAAGTAACTCTCTTCTTTGACTCTCTTCTTTTTTTTAACTCTCTATGTATATATGTATATTATAATACTTACTCAAACAACATACCCTGTGGCGCGTATTTGATTTATGACCACATTTCAGGTTGATATTTCAAGAAATCTATGGCAGACATTGCAGAGAGTTATTATTTGAAGCTCTGGAGCGAGAGGATAAAAAAGATAACATGATATGCCGAAACTTGTTGGATTCTTTAGTATTTTCAGTATTGAAGTACAGCCAAGTACGTAGAGGAAGTTGCCTCTCAGCTAACCGTAACGAATCGTACGGCAGAATGAACTTTGTGCTAACAATCCAGCAGCTCTACTCACGTGTGAGGTATATGGACAACAGCCTAAACTCACAGAAAAATAAGCTGGGATTTTGTCTCCGGCAAGGTATAATCTCTTGTTCGCAGCCATTTCCTGTTCCCAGAAGCAAACAATGTCAGGCATTAACACAAGCGTATTTTCCGCCGAGGCAACTCGAAGGTTTTGCAATTATCATCCTTCAGAAACATTCCAGAAAGGAACCCAAACGTTTACAAACAACTAACCGTTGCAAACCGATTTTGACTTTATCGAGTGACTTTCTGAAAATACAAGTTCATATCCTCTTTTATAACAGCATCAAAACTCTCTCCACAAGAAAGGCAAGAGTCAGGGTATTCAAAATTGGAGTTTCTTAAAAGAAAATCGCAAAAAAAAAATATCATAAAAACAAAAAAGCAATTGGAAGCGAAAGACGAACCGAACACTGCATAACTTAATATGCCAGCAAAACTCTGAGATGTTCCATAGTATCACATGACACCACGCTGGTAATGAAAAATGATTCGTATCATAAGTAGTGAAAGTTGAGAGGGGTAATACCATCTATCAATAAATTTTCCAAATTTACTGATGATGATTTTCAATTTTTTTCTGATTTTTATTCAGACATCCCATCCATTTTGAAAAAGGAATACTTTTTACGTCTATTTGTGACAAACTTTTATCTCCCCCACTCTTGAACAAAGACACCTTCAGTTAAACCACGATTTATTCAAATACTTAACAAAACAAAGTCGGCCGAAACACTCACAAGATACCTTTCGGAATTATCGAGCAAACTTGCTGAGCATCGCACTCAAAGTGCCGATGTTAGCAATCACGAAGTATTTTTGTCCATTATTTGACAAAATTCATTGTATAAAGATAAAGAAAAGATGTTTGCATGTTCAGAACGTAAAGCTCAGTTTTTCTGTCACAATCATCGCATGGAATGACTAGTTCAAGGGAAACATTTGTAGTTTTCCCAAATCGTTAACAGTTGCAAGTGTTCAGAGCAATGTGCATCAAAGACGTCAAAGGTAACTTTAAAGATTAACTTTTTTGCTAATGTAATACCCCGAAATCGCCTTAACTGTTCGTACACTCAAAATAGGGTAAAATTATTATTTTTATATTTTGTAACACTGAAAACCAAATGAAGCTTCATCCAGCATCCAGCCCTCTTTTACCGCGATGGTATTCTAGTGTGCACATCAAGGTATTGATGTTACGGTAACTGTAACACGGTGATTCTTTAACTGAAGTACTTACAGAAGATTTTAATACGACTGCACCCTTATATATTGCGTTTAGAGCTAGTATTTATATTCTTGCTATCAATGGATAACCATATACTCGTGTAACCTATGAAGATTCTGAATCATAAAAGGTGATGAATTATAATGACTCAGCACATATCCGACTTCTGCATTCGCATAATCACCATCACCAAAACGCCGTCGCGAAAACAGAAGCCATACTTGTAATTTCCTTCTGACAGGGAAAAGATGCCGATTACTTTTCCTTTTTTTTCTGTGTTCGCCTGCGTAATGTAGCACTTTGACGAGCGTATCTGTTGGCATGGAGGTTTAATTCACCGCTACAAAAGAGCTCAATCAAGTGAAGAAACACGGAGAGGGATAGATTTAGAGGTAGGAGAGAAAGAGACACTCTAACAATAGCCGGCAATATCTTATTCGATGTCGATAAATTCACTAACTCTATCTACAGTGCATGCGATTTGGAGAAAGTATGAAACAAAACATAAGATTAACCTTTGGAGCGACGATTACTACTAAGAGCACGCACTTTTACACTCGCATATATACATCCAGCTGTTAGTGCAGTGCACAGTGGACCACTTTTTATAAGAGTTATCGGGATGAGTTGATATTACAACACAGTCTCTATCTTTCTCAATGTTGGTCGCTTGAGGATAGCCTGACTCCCAGTTGAAATAAGTAGCGTCATCTGTGGTCCATTTCCAGCGATATACACCCTCTTGATTCGTGTCTGTCAGACCAATATAGTATTTTCCTACTGTGAAAACAAGATAAAGGAATCGATAAAAATGAAATAATGCATTAGCTCTGACGAAGGGCTAACGCTCGAAAAGTCAACTTTGAACTCCTAACGGTGGCAAATTTACGTAATCAACTCAGTTGATAATACAAAATTGACTTGCTAGCTCTCCCACCGACGCAGCACCATAGTTTCTTTAGAAACTTACCTCAGATTAAAATGAAGACTGAAACGTTCTGAGTTAGTTTTAGTCATATCGTATTAATAAATGGCTCAACTTTTCGCTTGAAGAGTTATATAAAGGTCCTTTTGTAATTGGTTGCTTTTGAGGAAGTGACTAAATCCGTATTAGGTGAGCGGACAGCAAAACTAATTGAAACTTTTCTCTTATTTCTTACACTTTTCCTCTCCATTCTAATTCCCTGAAAACCAAGAGATTACAAACTGCAAGAAAAGAAGCGATTCTCTTTTTCCGCCCTTGAGAGCATGTGCCACAAGCATGAACTGGTTACTACGTTTTGAGATCAGAATTGTAACTCCGTGTTTCAGGTCAAATGTGCAAACAACAAACGCCGTCAATTAAAAAGCAGCTTCGTAACCTGGCCGAACGGCTATTACTAGAGAATCGAACTCAAATGACAGGAGCCAAAACATAACGATCTCAATCAGATAATGTCTTGGTTACGGTTGTCCAAGATTTCATTCAACTTATAATTACGCTCCAGTTCACAGCCTTGTTGTGAACTGTTAAGTCAAGGTTAGGCGGACATGCAAACCCATGTCCAAAATGGCGACGTCGGTAATCAAACTTTCGACTGATTAGGGTACTCATTATAATTTAAAAATGGGGTCAGTATTATGGTTCTATGGGTTTAAAAGAAGGCGGAGATGAAAATTGTTTAGTTTTTGAAGCTTACTTATCCTATACTTTAATTAGTGATTAGTTTTAACCTCTCAAATTAACTGTGAAAAAGAAAATATTTTTCTTTAAGCACAGTTTTGGCTTTATTTGGGGTAGAAGGGTACAGAACACGTCATCATAACGGAATGTGCTGCACATAAAATTAATCAAGTTAAAGTGACCTGTGATTAGTGTAATGTGTGTTTAGCTTACTCGCATGTATCTTAATTTGGTAGTGTGGAGATGTGGAAATGTGGAGATCTAGAAATATGCAAATAAGTATTTACCTTACTCGCATCAATCTTAACCTGGTTGTGTGGAAGTGTGAAAATATGCAAATAAGTCTTTACCTTACTCAAATTTATCTAAACTTGTTAGTGTGGAAGTTTGGAAGTGTCGAAATCTGGAAATACGCAACTAGGTTAATCTTTACCTCACTAACATTTGTCTACTTGGTAGTGTGGAAGTATGGGAGTGCAGAAATCTGGAAATATGCAAATCAACAGTTTTGCGCCCAGTAAACCTAAATTTGTCGTGCCGTGTTTGCCTTTCAAAATAATGCATCTCGCTTTGCTTTTGAAAGGTTCAAGTCTGCGCTCAAATAAATTTCTTCATTTTATTTCCTTCTTTCCGCACCAGCGTAAAGAAATTTACAAATTACATTTTAGTACATTTATGCTTAATTATATATTGTTTTGTTACTTTCCTCTTCAGCTAAATTCAGGAGAAAAGTGGCTGATGTTGATTTAAATGTATAATTTATGAGGCTATTTGCAAATTATTGTGTGCTCAGTAGTCATATGGTGTAATTTATTGAAGTGTTGATATGCATATCTCGACAAGAAGTTTAAACGAGCCACGAATTGTGAGGCACTGTCGTTTTACGCATGTTTGTTCAGATACAACACAACTTCTAGCCACATACATCGATCAAGACTCATTTATTCACCCAAATTGTATTCGCTGGGCTCCAAGCATAGTTCTTATAAATGCCTCTGTTAAAATCGAAAAAAAAAACCTTTAAAAGGAGCTTTGTCGCAATTAACTTACCCCAAACAGCTGTGAAAGGTAAAGTTATTGCCGCGCGTGGCTTTCCTTTGTTGAAAATAATCTGTTCAACTTCAGCGTACATAACTTAAAATTACCCATAAATAGAGGTTCGGTTTATCATATAGCGATAGAGAGCTTGATCGATCGCTTAACGTTCCAAGCCGCATATTTGCGAGAAGTTCAAAATCCAAGATGGCGGACGATTGACTAATTTGCATATAGACTTATTTGTATGTTTCTAGATTTCCACACTTCCACACTACAACACCTCCAGACAACCAAGTTGAGACAAATTTGAGTAAGGTAAAGACTAATTTGAATATTTCCAGATCTCCACACTTCCACACTTCCAGACTACCTTGTAACATAAATACGAGTAAGGAAAAGACTGATTTGCACATTTCTAGATTTCTACACTTCCACACTTCCACACTTCTACACTTCTACACCTCCCCACTTCCACACTTCCACACTTCCACACTTCCACACTTCCACACTTCCACACTTCCACACTTCCACACTTCCACACTTCCACACTTCCACACTTCCACACTTCCACACTTCCATACTTCCACATTACCAGACAACCAAGTTAAGATAAGCTAATCACACATCACACATTTCCACGTTGCAAGGTTACTCTATAGTGATTGATTTTATGTGCAGCGCATTCCATCGAGATGACATGTTCTCTGCTCCTCTACACCATCCGGGTAAAAGTTTCTTTTTTAACAAGCATTAAGAATGTGTGTCAGACTCAAATGCTAAACAGAAAATGAAAGATTTTCTCTTGTGCAATTGATAGGGTTATTATGTCCCCTGAACTGAGTGACGTTAAAAAATGATAACCAAAGTTTGCCACATTGGAAAGGAAACGATCTCTCTTGAATAACACAAAATATCACATCACTCTTTACGTTTGAAAGATGTTGGGAGAGTTTTGAAAACTACTTTTATCTTATGATAAATGGTAGATCGTATTACAACATTTACATTCAAACATTCTTATTGAAAGTTTTGTACAATATGAGTTTTTTCGGCAGTTTTAATACCGGGAATTTTATGGTATCATTGTTTTACGTATACGTTGAAAAGTTGTGACTAATTTTCCGGCAACTGAAACTCAATTATAACACTGACCTGCCAGTAAAGGAAAAGAAAAAGCAATCATTTCAAATCATTTCTGCTTGTTTGTCATTCTACTTACCATTCCGAGGGGCAAGGCTAACAACTTGGTCATTGTCTTCAACGGACGGGATCTTAATCAGACCTCCTTTTTCATTGTTAGAAGTCATGAAACTCTTACAGTGTGAATTTGCATCTGCTCTTGTTTTAGGTTGGGTAAAAAATCGAATACATCCAGTTCTATATCCATACCAGCCGCCCGTACAGTCTGAGAGAAAAAGGTAGACGACGATTCATCGAGTCAAATCATAATTGTTCTGGTTCCCCATCCCTCACGTTAAGAGTTTTTGAAATGAGTCTAGAAAACTAAGCAAGGGCACGAGGCCGAGGCTTGCAAGCTTACTTCTCGGAATAAAGGGCTAAAATGACGAATAAGTGAATTAATAAATCAATGAAAGATAAATAAGTAAATAAGTCGATTAAATTATTGATAAATAAATAGCATGGAACACTAAATTACACCCGTCTTTTAGAAGTGCCATTCTTTTATAAAAACCTTCACACAATTCCAAATTTAGCAGGTCAGATATTAAAGGCGGTTTAAGCGAAGGATAGAAACTGCATGATTTTCACTTTCCTGCTCAAAGGCTTTGTACGCTGAAAGTCCTTATAACAGTCGCTGCCTTAGATCAATGCCTTTGAACAGAACTAAGGGGAACGTACGTGAATTTGTTTCGAGGAAACCTCGCTGATTTCACTCGTAAATCATCCTTCTCATTAGTTCTCTTTACTGTGACATTTAGGTTAGTTTCAGTCTCAAGACCTTATAACTCAGCATTCAATGTGAAATGAACTATTAATTAGAGTCTTATTAACTCGATATACTTTAATGATTTGGCCATTAAGCTAAGTGCAGTTGCAAACAATCCTATAACACAATGTACTCAATCAGTATTGAGTACAGAGAAACAAAATGATGCCCTTTACCTGCTTGGGGTTGTGAAGATGACGACAACAGAGTAATTGACGATGTCGTTACTCCTGACGTGGAATTAAGTAGAGAAGCTGATGATGTCATCGTTATGCCAAATGTGGTCTGTGTGACTGATTGATGTGAGGAAGGTAGAGACGTCAAAGCAGATGAAATCATAGAGGACTTAGCGAGTACATTTGATGACGATATCGATGGCGTGACAAACGAAGTAGTCTTTGATGGTGTTATCATGCAAGACAAAGGAGATGATATCATAGATGACGTAGCCAGTGCATTTGAAGACACTATCATTGACGCGACAGGCGATGACGTCTTTGATAGCGTTGACAAGGAAGACTTCGACATAACAATAACAGATGATGATGTCATCGATGATATTGAAGACATTTCTGCCACATGACAAAAATTGATTGCAACAAAATTAGTAACGAGTAAGCTAAGATTCCCTTAGAGTGTTGTTCCTAGCGCTTCTCTTAAGAAGCAACAGCAAGCTGGAGATTACCTTTGAAATACCTTACCAAATTTACATCACGGACAATCTACTCATGATTTTATATATAGTATCATGGTCGTCATGGTCACTATCATTATTACTGAAACTTTGATTGCTTTCATCATACTTTTTATTAGTGTGATTAATTTTTTCATTATTATCGGACAGTTTATAATATCTTGTACTAGCTTATCTTTTAAACCAGCAGAAGGATACATGATAAGCTGGTTATGAGAAGGGTGGGATCTAAGATTTTATTGGGACAGTTGATATAACTAACCACTGTATACACTTATGATCTTTTTTTCCAGGAAGATATCTAAAATGTGACACGAAGTCACACTGAATATTAAAGATTTCAGTAAATTTCTAAATGAAAATCCAGTCGGTTTGAAAATTTGATAATGTTATAAAATTAGGATATTTGTTGTGATTTTTGGCGTTCAAGGCGCCCTTGAAACCAAAAACCTTTAAAAAGTTAAAAACTAGGATTTCTCCGAGTCGGGCGTCTCGCATCCGTCAAAAAAGGGAAATTTTTCCGTTTTCTATGAGTTTAACTGGCAAATAAACAATAAATATTTGACTCACCAGGGCACACTTTGTACCAAGTTCTGTTATTATTTACAAAGCAAGGTAGAGAAAAGTTACGAGTGAGGAGTTATGTCTAACTAACCTTCAGCGGAAGATGTCAGTTCTAACTGACGGTTTTCTTTGCTAGTTGTCCGGTGTTTATCTCCCTAAAACATGCAAGTCGGAGGAAAAAACGAAAAAAAAGAAAATAATAATTTATTTACTCTGTTTCTCTTGCATTGAGCAACAAAGATTATTCAATGTTTGCACTTCATTGCCATAAACTGAGCGATCTGAATGGACAAAGCAATAAAAATCTGCGTGTGCTTGGTATTTTCGTGAGCTAAAACTTGAAACCATAGCAATATTTAATAAAAATGGCGGATTTTTAAAAATATTTCAAAGTAGTATGATTTTCTTCCGAGGTTAAGCAAAGAGGTTAATCTAAAGACTTAAGAATTCGCTTAAGACTATCCTTCACAGGGACACGAAATGTTTATTCGCATACTATAGTTTTATGCTTGCACATTAGCTGAAATTTGGCTGCGAACTGTTGCAAAATGCATGTTGTGCAAGCTGGGCTAAGGTGATGTCGACATTTGTACTGGATGGTGTTAGCGATGGTATTTTAGATTTTCTAGATAGCGGTTTCAATGGATGCATTTTTGAAATAATCGCCGTATTTATTGATGATTATATACTGTTGCTATGGATTGAAGGGCGTGCTTGAGGCATGGGCAGATGTTATTCAACTTTTTGATCCAAATGCACTCTATTACTTACGTCGTAGGACAAATCGATCGGCTCTTTATAAGAATATCCATTTCGTCTCACGAGTGTCTCACCGGAAGACAGCAGAGTGACGTCATTTAGCTCACAAGTACGTCGTGTTGATTTGAAACTCAACCGTTGATAGTTGAATGACACGCAATTGTCAGACAACACACATCTATGCAAACAGTCCAGCTCAGATGGAACCAAGAATTTTGCTATAACGTGCCCTTCCAAAACTTCATCTGAAAGACAAAACAAGAGCTTTCAAATCGCTTAGGAAGTTAACTATACCATATCACGGGACCTTCCCGGCCTAAAGTTTGGGACAAGGGGAAATTAAAGAAAGGTATGGTTAGTGGGTACAGTAAAGCACTTATTCAAACAGAAATTCGGCATTTCATAGAAAGATGAAGAGTGTAAATTGTGGTCAGTTATTGACCTCAACGAGCGGCTTGTGAAATATCCCTTCCAATGGATATTAAAAATAAGGTTCTTTTAGAAGTTGTAAATATCACAGATAAAGACCCGGCAGCGCCAAGGTTGAAACCTTGTTCAGGGCTTCCGTTCCAGAAATTACATACGAGTCTTTTGATGCATGAAACGGTTTCTTTAAGTGCGAAACCATTGTGTGACACGTTGACGCGAGCAGCGTAGTCTGTACTCTTATCGAAATTGGCAAATTGGCCGATCAGATTGCGACATTACTGCCAATTGTGGTTAGAAGAATTGGAAAACCATATCCTGAGGGATGTCTACTCGGTAAGGCTAAATTATGAAGTTCTTCTTTCCATCGTCTCTCCATACACTCTTACACTCAACATGTATTACGGAAACTGCATAAACTCGCGCAACAGTTGTCGAATATAAACTTTTAGTCTTTAACGTTCTACGTATATGTTGCCAAGAAGAAAGCAGTTATTTTCTGAAATTGATTAGATCTTTAAAATCCCCTCATGTGTCAAGATTTGATGAAATATTGACAGATGTCAGTGAGAGACGATCCACAATGGCTTTCCCAAACAAATTTTTCTGAAGCATATTGTTTTTCGCATCACAGAACCACACTAACATAGACATATGAGCTAGATTTTCTGGCCGAGGAGTTTTCCTTAGCTACCTTTATTCGATTTATCCCTAAAGTAACTTGTAATTCGCTTTTATGCCTTTGTGGACGCTTTTTGTCAACGTGTAATCGTAAATCAAGCGCCAAAGAATTTTATCATTCGGGGCAGAAGTGCTTGGTCTCACCGACATTTTGTAAAATATTTTTCGTCTTTAAGATAAACATATATTTTAGAAAGAAATCTGATAATCTGATTCCTGATTGAGAACTCTTAATAGAGTTTGCGCTTTGGTCTTCGTCATCTGAATGTAATATTATACTACGAGGCAGGATAACTGGTTGTGAATTTCAATTACAGGTGTGAGGAACTTCTCAAATAAAAGTCGTTGATTGATGTTAGTTGTCTTAGTATTCTTTGTTCAAAAAGCAAAAATACATTTTTCGCCTTATTTGGGAAAATCACCTACTTTGATACCTGAGCTATGAAAATTAGGAATACCTGCCTTAAAGGGGTACCTACCTTCTTTCACCTTTTGAAAAAGAGCAGACCTCTCCCTGACTGCTCTTTGGATGCGCAAGTGACTTCCAAATGAAAGGTTTTCCCCAACAACGCTCAAAAAAATGGCGGTGTAAATGATAGCAATCTCAAGCTTCTTCATTGCTGAAATTATATTTAGTTTGACGATTGTTATATTGAGAAGCGTTGGCGTCAATATCTAAAGGCAATTAATTCAGAAACCACTGCAATTTCACATTACAGCGGTGAATTCAGTCTGAATAAATGATTTCCCTGCTCTATGGCCGACCTTAATATTCGCCCTCATCTCTCTTTGCCTATTTCCAAATACGACCCTTCCGGCAACGCTGATCTCACAATTACAACGATGCTTGACACCTGAGAACGTGCTTGTAAACGACGTATCTCACGATCGAGTTCTCTGAGAGTCAGTGGTTAAGCACCGGATTGCGAAGGGTTAGGAGTTCAATTCTTCTAAATGGACTCAGATTTTGGTTGTGGCCCCCATTGGTGACAAATCAGTATCATAAAACACTTAGCAGAAGGTCCCTTTGGAAACAGTTAATTCTGTTTCCCAAGTAACCAGTCGTGAATTGATTTGTTATTTGGAAACATGGCAATTTCTCCTGGATACAAATTAGCAAAATTTTGACATTTGCAAGTACCATGGACTGTTATCCTCCGACGTCATAGATTGTGCAACGCTAGGAGTCTTTATGCGAAAATGGTTTCATTGTTAAACGTTATGTGACTCTTAGTAAGCAAGGGAGCGTGCGTTGTCGGGGAAAAAAATGCCAGCTACACATTTAATTAAGACATGATTTTATGGTTGAAAATAGCTATATGAAACATGTTAAAGAATATCTGTTTAAAGAATAGACATCTAAAGAAACCAAATATTTGAGAATGAAAATATCAAATGAAAATTTTTAGATTCTATTTTGATACAATAAGATAAATGCTTTTATCTCACGGATACAGAACCAAATGAAAACTACACAATAGATCTATTCCAAATTAGAACTCTACGTTTTCTGGGCAGTTCTGCAATTATAAGTTTTGTTTTGCTGCATGTTCATTCTACATTTGTTTGGTAAGAAACATCTGGTGATCTCTCCAAATTTTCTGTATACATGTAATGAAAAAATATATATTCATTTTCGAATAAATGAGGTTATATCTCCAATTCAAACATCTGCTGTTTGGATCATGAACTTTGAGTTTTACTTTGTAGATTATTTTTCTTTTTCAACAGTGAACATCATTTGGAAGAATAAATATCCAAGGGTACACGGAGCTCAGTCTGTATTTGTCAATGATGGCACCGTCAGTAAACACCGATCATTATTTCAGTTCAAACTGGAGTGTTAAAATAAATTTAATTATGCATGAGAAAGCACAGGCTGTGCTCAGTATACATGTTGAATTCGAACTGACGAGTATCTTTCCATTATATTATTTTTGCCAGCGATGAGCTGTAGATTTCGAGATTGATAAAAGAACCACATGAGAAAAATTTCTTCGTTTTGAACTGCGTAGAATTGTTGCCAAATTAGCAAAATGGAGGTAGCAATATGTTTGTCGCGATCATGCAAAGCCATGAAAAAAGGAAGAAAGCTAAAATAATAATAATATGTATTACTGGCTGAGATTAATGAAAAAAAAAAAAAAAAGGAAATAAATACGCGGGTTAAACAGTCAAATCTCGTTTCGCCCAGTTGCTCATGAATTCTATATCATTTTAGGGAGCTGTCATAAAAATTATTCGCCAAAAATTGGGCATTTTCTAGTAGAAAATAAATAAGTTGTCAAAATTTCAGTGACATAAGAGTTATAAGTGACTCGATTCTCTACGGTGGAACCTTAGCTTTTTTCTTCTCTAAAGGAGATATGCTTACCATCGTTCTCGGAGTACTTTTACATATTTCTTGATGTCGTACAATATGGCTTACGTTTGAGCTGTATTGTATTTGATGCAATAATGTTCTATTTCAATTTCCATTTGGATAAAACTACCTGAGAATTAACAGGGTGAAGAGAAAAACCATGATGCGCAGATGATCGTTGATATTTGGGTCGCTGTAAGTGGATAATGATATTGAGATTCGTGGTATCAGGAAAATCTCTGGAGCTGCGCTCGTTATATCAAAGTAATGCGTCCAATAAAATACGGAAAGGACTAAAAAGAAATATATCGAAACTTGTCAATTAATTGTCGCCAATTTCAATATGCTTTCTTCAGAAGTTTTGTAAACACACATTGTACAAATAGTATTTGACTAACAAAGCCAGTCTACGTAACTTTTTCTTTACAGGTCCAGGGGCTGTGACAAAGTACAAACAAAAAACTTTAACAAGTCATTTGAACTCTGCGCTTAACTCAAGACGTCAAAGCTCAAAAGAAATACAAAGAAACTTGTTAATTGGACGGCGACAATTTCCCATTTCGGTCCTCAGACATTCACCAGAGAAAATGTGAAAGAAAAAGCGAGCCAGAATTGTGAAATGCTTTTATTCCGCTCTAGTCTACAAATATAAAACAAGGTCCAAATTATTGATTTTAGAAAGACGAATTTCCATGCGAGGAGTTTTTCAATTAAAACTACCAATCCAAAGAAAAATAACTGTTAATTACGGCTGTACGTTTTAATTCTTCGTTCATTTGAATAAAATTTTTATTCTAATGAGAAGAGTTCGCAAGAAATCGCATTTTATCGTCGGTATTTAAGGTAATAGGCTGCCTTCTTTTCTATATCATTTAGAATATCATCTGATATATATATATATATACTTGTTATTAGTACCAAAGTGACATGCACAGAAACGCAAAAAGTCAGCCTAGTTTTTTTTTCTTTTTACACCGAAAGGATCAGATGTTTGAATACTGAGAGAGTCCAATAAATAGCTACGTGTTAAATAGGTTTTCTTTTGTTTCGCTAAAAAAACATAATTCCAAATAATTTATATAATTAAATTTCGGTTCTTATTGAGCACTAGGCCAACGACTTAGGATTGCGACTTTGAATTCAGAAATACTTACGATGGCGGTTTGTTTAGAATAATTGTGTCGGCTCCTAAAGGAGCTTTTTTTTTTTCTTCTTTTCATTTTTTTATTGTAAAGTTTTGTTATCTTGAAGTCAAAGGTCCATTTAAATATGAATAAGCCTTCAATAGCTGTCTGGTGATTTTCGTACGCTTCCCATATTTTAAACACGCGTGCTTACATTCACTGCTTTCGATCTGAGCGCAGACAGATGTTGACCGATGTCAGTTGGGCCTCTCTCTAATTAAGCCATCAGGCGGTACAGCGACAGCTTCACGACGCGCGACGGCTCTGAGAATAATGCCATCCTTCGTTGTTCGTGCGCGCACAGATCAACTTGTAGGTGACAACAGAGGTTCGAGAATTGGAGAATTGGTTAGTTTTAAGCGATATTATTGGTTAACTCAACTAAAAAGACATGTTCTGGAGAGCTTCTGCTGAATGATGTCAATAACCTTATGAGATAAATATCAATTATTAACACTGACTACAAACGTTGATAAGAAAACTTTCCTTTCAACACATGTAGAGAATCTACAAGCGGTGTCTCATTTTAAACACGAGCTACTACTGACTTCGGCACCATAGCGATGGAATATATGAAGCGAATAATCAAATGGGAAGTCTATCTTCATACGACCCAGTACTACAGACAGGTATAGCATTCAGGGATTTAAAATTCATGGCGCCACTTCCTTGTGCGACGCTTTCAAAAATGGACGAAGAGACAATGAAGGATTAGTTGGAGGGATACCTTCCTGTGAGGTAAAGAATCACAAGGAGTGAGACCACGAAAGATAAGGCAGGTGCTTTAATTCCAGCAGTTTAAACAGTACAGAAGCCTGATGCTGTTGCAAGAGTACGATTTCCAGCTTACCAAAACGACCAATCGTCCCTTTTCTTCTCTGAGACTCATTCTATTGTCGCTTAAGAGGACAGCGATAATGACACATGATGAGCTTGATTCAGAAAAACTTACCATTAGTAAGCCCACGATAACAAGGTCTGGAATGGTCTGGATTCAAGGTGTGGCATGGTTTGATATTCGAGCTCAAAAAGAAGGGTAAGTCAAGAATATAGACCACCTTGCAAGGGTGTTATTTTATTTTAATATTTTTAATAGGCATACATCTTTCTCTCTCTCTCTCTCTCTCTCTCTCTCTCTCTCTCTCTCTCTGTCTATCTATATATATATATATATATATATATATATATAAATATTATGAGAGGATTTCCCGACAAGCCTGTTTCGTGAATCGCTTCACTCTTCAGGGGTTAATTAAATAATAGTTCCGTGCTGTTTGAATAGTTTCATCAAACTAGTGAATTAATTAGCTACTTCTACTTACCTAATTTGTATATAAGGAGGTATGTTCTTCATTGAATAAAGTTCTGTCTGACGAGCGCTTAGGCGCGAAACTCAGAGTCACAGAGAATCGATGCGTCCTCTTTAACTCTGTAACTTATGTATACCTAGCTCTGCTTCCACAAAATTGAGCACTTTATGCCAAGGTAGACTCTATCCCCACATTCATTTATATATATGTATATATATATATATATATATATATATATATATATATATTCCTGAGGTAGTGTACTAAAAAAATCAATATAATTCTCAAAGTACCTTAATTTTCCCTCCCGAGATTGACCTAAGACGCAAAGAAACAGTCGTAATTGTGTTTTCGAACAAAAAAAAATCCACTTTTGAAAATCGTTGAAATTAATTGTTAACATTGTTAACCGTAATGGAAAGAAATTAACCATTAGCCATGAAATTACCAAATTTTAACCGTTAGCCGTAAAGCCATCACCCCATCGAGACCCTCAAGTAAGCTCAGAATACGTAGTCAGCCAGTAGTTGAATCATCGTTCCTCTCCTTTCTTCTTCTGTTCTTTTCTCTCCTTTTCCATTTCTTCCTCTTGTTCTTTCTGATTCTAAATATCGCCTTATCGACAGTTTCTGTTTGTTTAGCCAAGATTGGCGTTATGGCCCTAAACGCCACCAAAATTTCTCGCCCAGTTTGACTGATTTCACAAGCAGAGGCAAAAAAACCTTGTCTATCTTCTTCTCCTGGTCTCAACTCCACACAATATGAATGAACCACGCCAAGTTTGTCATAAGTATAGTCGATTGAATTTCCACTAGTAGGATCTGTCAGGGGAAAAAAAAAGAAAAAAAAAATATATATATATATACATATCAATCTTGATTATAGTCTATCCTTGCGGTATAGTGCTCGATGCGTTCGCAGAGCGTGTTATATCTGAAGATTGAACTAATCAATAAGACATAACGTTTCTGTGACTGTAAGTTTCACGCTTATGCGATCACCAGACTGTCTGATGAGCGCATAAGAATGAAACTCAGAGTCACAGAAAAGTTATGTCGTATTGATTAGTTTAACTTTCAGAGATACATATATATATTACATTCATTCACGAAGATTTGCTACTTCTTCACATCACACCAAATCAGGAGGTGTGTGACTTTGTGACCTTCTCAATTATGAACGTATTATACTGTTTAATACTTGAGAGCAGCTCTTGGATATCAAGTGCTCCCCAAACTTTCCAAGTGCACCTATAACTTGATATACGCACAGCTAAGATCATGAACCAATTCTTTTAAAACATAGCGGACACAACTTGTGCTCAAATAAAAAATTTTGTTATTATTGTGTCGAATTTAACAGGTAATCGCGACCTACCCGAAAACTATGACCTAAAGACAATGCAAAAACGACCAGCAAATATTTAAAAATCATAGCTTTATTCAAAGAATTAGAAATTTTGCTAATAAGAAGCTTAACGAATTTCTTGCATGCTGGAGACCACTTAGTAGGACATATCAACATTGAAAAATAACATTCACTGTTGGAAAAACGAAGCAATAAACTAACATATGTCTTGCGTTTACGAGACCAGCGTGGTTGATTCACTATACTTGAATTGTTGCTAATTGAATTAAAGACCAGAAAATTGCGAGGCTTTGCGTTGAAAATTCTGAAAATTGTACGATTTAAACGAGGTTGGTTTCGCCTAAATGATCAAAAAATATATGCTTTGTAACTGAATTCGATCTGCAAGAAAAGTAAAATAGCGAATTCTCACAACAAAGTTTTGATCTTTCGATGATATAATCTTTTCGATCCTTCATATTTTCATCATTGAGAGATCTTGTCCCTTTGTTACTAGGCCGATTTTCGATATCAATTGAATCCTAACTCGCTTGATACGAGGAACAAAAAACATACTACTTACAGATCGTTGAATACGCAGGACCGTAGATGTAATTTTTTCCAGATGTCTTGTATATTGCGTCTGTAGCAGCTCTCATCAGTGTTTTCTGTCAAAAAAAAAAGGAGGATTGCAAAGGAAAAACTAGCCTTCAGAACAGAATATTATAAAATTGCACAAAGAGGTCTAAATATTTTAAGCTGGCTAGTTGATTAAAACGAAAACAACGTATTGTCTATGGTGTAATCAGACAAAGATATTCGATATTTTTAGATTGAATTTTCTACTCGTCATAATTTTGGATTTCCAGAACCGGAGAACGAAAGAATTGAGGCAAACAGAAGAAGATACTAGTCCAAAATGGCGCCAAGCGAGGAGCTCAAGCATCACTGTGAGGGTAAATAAAATCTGTGTGCTTAAACGCTAGGTCTTTGATACTTATCTTAATTAAGGTAAGCTAAATAATGTGTATATTACACAGCATTTTTTTGGTTATTACAATTTTAATAACTGGTCCGATATGAAAGGGGAGAACCAGTGATAAAGGAGCGTTCGTTCGTTTGAAAGTATCAGCATGACTGCCATGAGCGCTGCCACGCACCACTACTGCGAATTACTAGAATCACGAACGTGGTGCCATAATTGCCATCCTCGAGTTTGCGACCTCATCATCCTACAGTCTTCACCGTATTATAAATGTCTCAATCATTTTCATTATAATGCATTAAAGTTTTCTTTGTCGAGATGATCATGGTCGTCATCGTCATCGTCAAAAGAGACCTTTAGTACCTCTGAAAATCAACGACGTGAAATCACCAAAGTTAAAGAGGTCTGAGAAAGAAAACCCCGTCGGTAAACACATCCAGCCATTCGCTAAATCTAACTAAGAACATCAATTCATTTTTCATTCAACGTCAGCGTTGCCGTCCTAACTTCTTAAGGTCCCTAACTGCACTCAGCCGGAAAACGGAAGCAAGAGCTATCAACAATATTTTAAAAAATTGGCGAATTCGGTCCGGTATTTCAATCGAAACCGTTCCCAATGTGCTTGATCTTTTTCTGCATTTCAAACATAATATCTCAGAAGAAAAAGCATGCAACGATCACTTAATTTCCGTCTGCCTCTTGCGGGTGAAAAACGTTCATGCTCTGCATGCAGTTCCCTATCCTTATCTTATTATCATAGATGTCAATGATTTTATCTTCGTCATCATCATTGTTCGTCGTCATCGCCAATGATTGCATGGTTTCGTCGTCATGATGATTATATCGACAATTTCCACCCTTTACCTTTGTCACCGTCAGGAATTAACACTAAAGCTTCGTCATCATCTCGAAGACTGTCACCAAACATGGGAAACCCAAGGGAGCTGTTATAACCATTTCATGAAAATATATGTACAGATATTAGACATAAGTAGCCATCTTTTTTACTAACCATTTCGTCATAATCTGATGGTCTATCTTCTCTCCATCCCCATGGTGACATCCACAGCTGCCCATAACTATGAAAATCGAAGAATGCTATCAAGTCGGATCTTCGATCAGTGAGATATGTGGCGACGTTGAAGGACTCTATTTCAGAGAAGGGACTTTCTCCGGAAAATTGTTCGCTGCATGTGTCATGTGAATTTAGGTCAGAACCTGAGTTGATAAAAGGAAAAAATCACAATATTTTCAAAGGGTATGAATAATGTCACTGTTGTGTGAGTGAAAACGTAGTAAGTTACTACTTGAAGGTGTTTATCTGAAACACAAACGACATTTTGTCCGTTAGGCCATCATGATGAGTTATACTAAGATTAGAGGTCTGTTTTTCACCCGCTTTAAATAAGGGTTGTTCGATTTTATGTTTTGGATATAATTTGTAAACCAAGAATGAAAAAATAAAAATAATAAAACAGGTTTACGCTGAATTACGCATGCTGAGTCATACAAAGAAAAGCTTTGTATGTTTTCACCCGTGTAAATTCAGTTACATTTCTCGTTTTATTTTTTGTGCTTTCAATTTGGAAATGTTATTTTTTAAAATATGTTTATTACGGGATGTACGATTGGTATGTCCATATATAAATGGTACAGATGTTGAAAACAGTTGTTGGTGATAAACAGCACAGTTGTTACTCACCCCACTTACTGTTATTAAAGTTCCTGTTCAGGTCCACACCAATACAATCTGCAGGTAAGGAAGAATCAAACACACGGCGATTTTTTCGCCATAGACGGTCCTCCTAGAATTTTTTGGAAAAAAAATAAGAGAAAAAAAATCCTGTGAATTCAATTTCAAACTTTTCTTAACTTTCCCTATCCATGCTTACATTCGACCATCTATATACCTGTTCAATTGTTAGCCATTCACTCATCTGTTTACGCATTTTATCTTATCACGTGCTTAAGATTTATATTTAGCCTGCTTACCTTGTGAGTGAACTCGTAACCGTCAACATTAAAAACTGGCAGGAAAAACCAATCAAATGTTTTGGTCATGTTCGCAATCTCTTCATCCCGATCTGAGAAATTCAGAAGCTAAAACGAAAATTCTAATAACATAAGAAAAATTGACATTTACATCATCAAATAAAAGTCGGTGAAGAGAAAGAAAACTTTATGCCGGTTTTTTCATAATTATGCTGGGGAATTTAGCTCCGACAGCCGTAGGAGATAATGTGCTCGTTCTTCATGGGAAAGTATAAGCACAGTTGCGTAGGCTGGTGGGCGATAATTTGTATGCAATTATTGCAAGTTACATGATGGGTTCTGGGCTTATGAAAAGAGAGAAAGGAAAAAGATCCGGTTGTAGGGAGGCTTTAGAAGTTTGAAACAAAAAAATGAGAATTGAATTCAAAGAACCAGTAGTTTATATGTAGGAGGCAAAAGAGGTGAAAAAAAAAATTCTAAGAGGGTTACTCAAATGGCAAAATGACTTACTCATTTCTCCTTTGCAAAGCGGAACTTACTTGGTGTATAAGATACATGCAAGTGGCAGGACTTATCCACTCCCTGGCATGAATTCCACAAGCAATGAATATCAAACCCTTAACTTTTCTTCTACTTTGCTTAATCTAAGAATGATTACAAATATAAAGAGAAATAAGAAAAAATCAAGCAAATAATGGGTTAAATTTTTAAGAAAAGGCATAACAATGTTACGAGATTAAAATAGGTGTCCCCAGACAAAGTGTTACTAAGGTATTTCTCTATAGAAATCTCTAGGAATCAAACGTAAACGCGAAACACTGTAGATCCATCAAAGAACTAACAGTAAAGAGAAGGGACCTCACACCATTGTAGAAGATGCTGCTAATTAAGTTTCTATTCATTGTTATCAGCATCAAGGCCGCAGTAAAATTATGATTTAGCACGAACAATTACTCTGGAAACATAGGAAAACATCAAAATAGAAGCTATCTTGTAAATTTTAATTTTTTAACTATTATACATGTAAAAATGGTTAATATATATATATATATATTTGATTTTTGGGTAGTGTCTTAAGTTATTCCCTTCTAGCTGAATACTTGTACGCTTAAATAAAACTCTAACCTTTTTAAGAATGTAGAAATATACACAGACGAAGGCCATGAAATGTTAAGGAATTTAAACAGTAAAAAAGTCTCCACGAAACTATCAACTCCTTGCAGCACTAGAAATCACCTCTAGCAAATTTCAAAGTTCCAATGGCCAATTTCTGCGCATTAAGGACAAATTAAATATTTGTGCTTAGTCGCTCCATCGAGAAACTGGGTAATCAACAACTGAGACGATAGGATAAATTATGGTATACAATTTCGAAAAACTAGAACCATAGTAATGAATAAAAGTTGGTATCTATTCATCAGAAAAGATAACTTCTACCGTTAATCCCAACATGTTCCGTCCCTCGTACGACTTTCCAAGTTCTACTACTGATGCCAATGATGGATGATCTGACCGGAGGCGATACATTTCCTTGTGGATCTGATTATTTTACAAAGAGAAGGAAAATCAGATATCGTTTAATTTTCATGCTGAGGACCGTTATTTGACAATTTAGAGGGGTGATTGGATGGATTGATGAATAAATATATGTTATTCGCCAGCCAGGAGGTCCACGTCGGGAAAAACTGTGCCGGTCAAGACCTCGGGCACAGTTTTTCCGAACACGGACCGACCTGTCGCAATCTGACACCTGTTAATTAGAGTGCGCGCAAGAAAAAAAATGGATGTAAACTTTTGAAAAAAAAATGTACTTGTTCGGCAAACGAACCAAATTCAATGACTGTCGCGACGATTTTCTCTTCAAAAACGTTTGGTGATCCTACGAAAAGTATTATTAATTTTCATCGATGATTGAGGTAAGAAGAATAAATGTGCTCAGTCAGGGAATGACAAAAAAAGTAATTGTAGGTAAATTAAAACGCATGTTTTGAAGTTGTAGGAGTTTGCTCGTAAGCTTGCTTTAATGGCGTGTGTCAATCTTGTTTTCTTCCAGCAAAAAACTCAAGTCAAATGAGACACTTTAACTAGACCCAAGGGAATTTAGTGCGGTTTTTTCGCTGATTTCTTTCGGTTTTTGTTATGCAATTTACGGTGCAAATTACCAAGTTGAACAGACTTGCAAAGACTTATCGAGAGCATATTTGTAGTAGGATTGAAACCTTGGCTCACCGCTTGACAGCGAAAAAATTTGATTGAGAGAATTCAGATATTAAATGAATGAAAATTGCATCGATTAATTCAATCGTAACAAATACCTCACAAATCCACTTTTTTTAGTAACTTTTTGTGAAGGATTAAAGTTAATTACAAACGGTTTGCACAACAACTTTATTTCGAAGACATTTTTTTGCCAGTAATGAAAGTGATTTGGGATAGAGAGAAAAGAGAGAATTAAAAAGTTAGTGATCGGTTTGATTTGCTTAGAAATGCGTTGCTTGAAAATATACCCAGTCAGCGAAACGGGATATATTTAGAAAAAATCACAACGAAGGTAGGGACGTACTCGGCAACTCACGAAAGCGTTACCGTGCCCGCGGGCAGAGATAGGAAAATGCGGACCGCACCAACGGCCAATCAGATGACAGGATTTATTACCGTACTCGCTGAGCAAAAAGTAAAATTATCTGTGGACGGATGAAGAATCAAAGTATTACTTTTACAAGTATTGGCCCCACTCTCCCGATATAGGGAGAGTGGGGCTACTTTCATGCCAATTTCCATAATTACCTTCTCGTCCTCGTTTCTTTTGCTTTTTGGCTGTTGAATAAGACTACCATTCTTTGAGATACAAGTTACTTAATATTTCCATATTACCATTTTACCTCATCCAATGTGTGATAACAGTTGTCGAAATCGTTGTTTCCATGACAACATCTATCTTGATTATCAATCATCTCCCTTGTGTCGATTGCTATTGTGTCCTTATACAGAGAAAGTTCTGCGAGATGTGCCTGGAAATCCTCGACTGAATCTGGACCTACGTGAATATGCACCTCTCTCCCCGTTTGTGAAGGCGCTTTCCAGACGTCTAGCTACAAAAAAATCAATCGCATTCCAGACACACAATCACCCTTCGATTTTTGTTAACTCAATGTTAATCCAACTGCGCATTCTGGATTTGTTGACATGCGCCATTTAAGCCTCTAATTAAGTATCTGCCACGATCTGACACCTGTCAATTAGAAAGTCCGCATACACTTTTGAAAAAACGGCAGCACTGGTTTGGCAAGCAAACTCGATTTAAATGACTACCACAGTGACTTTTTCGTCAAAGCTGAAGTTTCAAACGTTAGCCCTTCGTCGGAGCGAAGCTCCATTCGCTCTGATGAAGGACATAAGGCTCGAAAAGTCAGCCTTTTAATTCTTTGCGGTGGCCAATTTACGATATCAGCTCAGTTAATGATACTAAATTATCTTGTAGGTAGATTCAGTCTATTTGTTTCCTGAAATGGCGTTAGTTAACTTGTCTTTCTACCACTGAAAAACCGAGGTCAAATGACACGCTCTTTTTTTTTCCAGCCAGAAACATTGGGATTCAATGCGACGTTCAGTAATCGAATTACTTCAAGCGGGCCAGAGTTGTAGAATACCGCCCGCTCGCGCATCGAGAAACTTGAAAATTAATATTATTATTATAATTGTTTCACGTTGCAAATTTTACCTTAAGGAGGCTGCATAGGGTTTTTGCTCAATGTTAGCGTGCACCAGTGTTTTTCTAGAATTCTTTTTTTTATGTTTTCGCTTTTCTAAGTCACAAAAAGCCATCAAAAGGTGACAAGCAAGGTTCGGACTATCGTTTGCTGTAATAAATATCAACAAAATCATATTTCATTATTAAGCTGAGGCTCCACAAAGGAAGGCGCTCGTCAGTGATAATTTGGCTTTGTTTTTGATTTTCTTCATTTTGCCTCGGTGAAATCTCTCAAAATTTTCATACTTTGTGAAATTTGCCCTGGTGATCATTAAAAAGCCGAAAAAAATAGGGGTTACAAAAGCAGTTTCCTCTCTATTTGCAATTTTGTGTTTTTTTTCTCCATCTCAAATTTAGTATTATGAATTTTTTTTTAATCAACAGGCACTAGAAAGGGCACACATATTTTTAACGGTCCGGCAAATCTTAGGAAATTCCACTGAAGGAACGCGATAAATCTTACTCGAAATATCCCTATTTCTTTGTCGCAAAACATTACGTAATGGAATAGAACTTCGCCAAGATCTATATCCGAGCATGAGTAAACTTTTGCCTTTTGGCAATGTTTCCCAAGGTGTTTTCTTTTCGGTTGACCTCTTTTTCAGGTTTAAAAGGCCTATGAATATTTCGGGTGCAGTTGCTTGAAAACCAAGATTCCACCACATAAAAACCCTATTTAGTTAAACTATTTTAACACTCCTTTTCAGATAGCAATCGTGTGATCTTATCAAGCCACTATGTTTGTTTTGCATGTTGACACTTTTCAAGCTCGCGCTATTTTCGCACCCATATCTCGCGCGTTTAAAAAACCTTATCGAGCCCCCTTAACGGGTGCATGAAATAATATCACTACCCAAAACTTACATCCTTCCGACTTTGCAGTAAATCCCTCAGAGAAGAGACTTCTTCATCTGACTGTGGAGCTACTCGTATGACTTTGTAGCTAGGAAAGAATATGAACGCATCACTGATAAAAAATTGGAATCACTGGTGACGTGAGCAGCGTGTACTCTTAAAGAGCACCAGGAAGCACCGTCGGTCATGAAGTTTTATAACGAGTAAAATCGGCTTTTGAAGTCCGATTTGAAGAAACAAAAATGATAAAAACAAGATTTATAATATTCCAAAGCTATCCCTAAACAAGAAGCAAAAGAACAGTGTGTACATCTGAAACATCAAGCATGGGGTCCAGAGGCAACTCGTACCTCTCTCGAGCTTCGCTTGATATGTGTTCCCTGTTTTTAAGGCTACATTTTTGTTATGCGATACACTCGATACAGTGAGATTTAACATAGGCGCGGCTAAGGTCAGCCGTCTGTTTCCAACCTTGCTTTATCGATTCTTTCGTAGCAGATAAGTAGCACAATGTCTTAGATAAATGGGTGGTAAGCGTATGAATGCAATCGGAAATATTGTCTCGTTTCTCTGTTAGAGCACTTGGTGAGAGTTAGCATCTACGGTGAGTACCAACAGAATTTAAAAGCTATGAACGATTTGTCCGCCATGGTTCCTCTGACTGGCAACCCATTGGCTGAGCATTTGAAACGTGCCTTTAAATTATAACTCAACAGAAGTTTCTTTTATATGTAATTATGAATTTTCAAATTCGATGTTCAATTGACAAAATTCTCAAACGAAATTGAAATATTTATCAGTGAGTTATAAGAAATTATGAGACTAAGGCTACAATCAATGGATTTTAGACTACACTCCATTTATATTGGCTGACCACTATGGAGCAGCTATACCAACCCATTTTTGGACGATCGCTGAACCACTCATAAAGAGAATACGACCAAACTTGTCATATAAAAATATTCTAATGCTCTGAAGAATTAAGAGCGTTACTTTTCGTTCTTTGAGTCTGTTTAACAATATCTTTTTATTCTTCATCATTCATCTCTTTTATCACGACCAAATTTCTATTTTTGCTGCAATCGTTGTATTGACAATTGAGTTCCGGTCAGTTTATGGTACAAATCCAGGCATGGATCAAACTATTTAGATTTGTCCATCTTTATGAAACATTAAAGTGGTTTTTGTTGCAGAGACTGGATGATAACTTGTTTAAAGTGCTCAGAATTCTCAGTGATTAGAAAAGGGTTGGATCAAAAAGAATGTTAGACTTCTTGAAAAGCAGTTCAGAAGTCAGACAGAGTTATTTGTAAATTGCAGTAAAAAATAATGGGGTTAAAGCTACAATAATGTGTATAAATTTTAGTTTTAGTTTTTTATCAGCAGACCACAGTGATAACTATCATATCATTTTTAACAATCACTCATAAATTAAATACAATCAATTCTTCGAAGGGACTTATATTCGATTGCTCTTGAGATTAATGAAAGGGTTCCCTTTTCCTCATTTAGGCTTATTCAACGATAAGTTTTTATTCAACATCCCTTTTCTCATGACCAGATTTTCTTTGTCCAATAATTTTAGTATCAATTGCGTTTTTTAATACAATAGGAATTAAAACATGGATCAAGCTATTTCGATTAGTCCATCGAATCATGTTCTTAACTATATGAAAAGCAAAGCAAAACTTCGCCTGTTTGATGGAGCGGTCAAGAAACCTTACAACGTAGACTTTTAACAAATTTAAAAACTGTTTGGCTGATTCAGTCCCTGTGCTATAAAATTTAAAATTTTCATTACTAAGTAAATTATCCAACTCACCCCTCGTAGTTTTTCAAACCTCGGTTTCGACCGGCGAAGACCAGAATCAATAGTTGAAAATAAATAAGAAAACAGCACCTTCCAGTTATCTTCATGATGCGTAGTTGAAGAAGAAACTTCTGAGTAAAGGGAAACTGAATGTGTCAATTGGTTACTTCGAATGCTGATTGTTTTCACTGATCAATCGATAATTACAATATCACCCGCAGTGCTATAGAGACCAAACCCAAGCTAATCACGGAGAAACAGTCTTAAAACACTGACGCTTGCTAGGAAGATAGCATGTACCTTAATTGTGGGTAGGATCATTTAGACCCTAAGCTCCTGTGTATGGATTATAAGTCTGGTAGCTGTGAAATGGGAGAATATGCATATAGCGTTCTAATTTTCTAATTCTTCTTTTTAATGCCGAGTAACAATGACAGCATTGACAAAAAAAAATAGCATTTTAAAATGGCAGTCGTGCACAATACATATAGCTAACTTCAGCTGATAACGAGATGAAAAAGGGCAATTAGAGATCCATCTGACTTCTGAAGGACTTTTCAAGAAGTCTGAAATTGACCAAACAGGGTTAAAGTGAGTTTTTTGTGGATTAATTTGCTCTCTGAATTCCCTTTACTCGTTTAATTATCGAAATTTCGTAATTTACACCTGGATTTACGTGACAAAAAATGTCTCCAGGGTAGTGCGAGTACTTCGAAAGATCGAACAAGATTTGTCACTTACATTCAAAACGACGCACAGGGTTTTTTCAGAGCATCCCCAGAGGTTTATGCGTCGAGACTAGTTATATTTCTTTCTTTCCCCTCTTACTTACTTAAGCTATGAAATTTTCTTGTAAATTTACAGCGACTCATCACAGTCATTGATGAGCCACTCTTTTAAAAGAAAGCATTATGCACAATCTCCTTTCTTGTATTTCAGATTAAGGAACGACTGAGAAGACACCCGTAGAGAGTTCTAAACAGCTCGCTCTTTTCAAAGCAATTAAAGTAACCAGTGGATCGTACCACAATACCAGAATATCGTTTGTAATGATTAGCTATTGTGTTTATAGAATCTTATCAAAACAGTCCAAGCAAGACATTTAGTCCAGACAAAAACATTTAACTGCGAAGGTAAGCTAAAGAAAAAATACAAACAGATGAACGGTCAGTGTATGCAGTCTACAGATATCCACTATTGTTTTCTCTAACGAGAGTATTACACTGAACACTGAAATAACTATAATCACCATGGCAACTAAGACCAAGCTGTTTAACAGTGTGACAAGAAAAAAAAATAATCCGTCTTCTACCTACTTTGGTTTTTAACTCAAGACTACGATGAGAAATCTCGCTCATAACATTATTTTCAAATTCAATAATTAATACTTTGCTTCAAGGTCAAGTTTTTACGATTCCTTGAAGGTTAAGGAAGTTCTTTAAGGAGAATTAACATCGGAGAATGATACCTGAGGCTAAAATAATGTCCAAAAAATGAACAATTGACGGAGAAGAAAATCTTTGGAGACAACCGAGAAAAAGGTTGAGGACAATATTTTAACCACGTTAGTGGCGCAGTATTTAAAGTTATCCACCTTGCCGAGTTAATTTGTTAGAATTGTTAATGGATACATTGAGTGAGGCATAGAGAAAAAAGCACGAGCTGACACTTAAGTTGCAAGTATATTGCATATATTGGACTGGGACGTGTTAATGACTGATTTTTTCATTACTTTTCGGGACTTAAGTTTTGCACATGGAGATCTGTACCTAAAAGCAGCAAAAACTAATACCACAAAAATTTCATTTCATGGTTAGCAAAGTTGAGAATATAAAGATGTAAAATGAATTTACGGTGTTTTTATCTTAAGCTGTTTTTTTTTTTTAGCTCTGATGACGAGTGATTATAATTTTCTTTCCCTTTAAGAAGGGTGTTATCAGCATATATAAACCATGAACTGTTTAATTTTTAAAAGGAAACTCATACCTCCTAACCTCGGAAACCAAATCATGAAAGCATCATTCCCAAGCATTCATTTTTAGCACACGTATACCGGAAATGACGTCATGTATCAGACGCAGTCTCTTGTCCGTCATCCTGGCGGCCTTGTCCCGAAGACTTGTGAAAACGTTTCCCAAAGTCGTTTGACAGAAGATGAGAGGTATTGAAAAGATCACACGTCCAAATGTTTGCCAGCCGACAAAGTTCCACAAAAGAGAAAAAACGAGAATTATCTCCAGAAGAGAAAAAAGCGATCTAAGGTTAGAGAAAACGTGATGGATCGGGGCCATGTCCTTAGAAATCAAGTTTATCAAATACCCTGAAGTTCTTTCAGCAAGAATATGATGGTGCGCGTTCAGAATCTGCAAGAAAAGGAAAAAACACAAGATGATTAATGATAAGATGAACTTCAACTTTGAATTTTGTCCATTAATCACACAAAAAAAGCAAATTTATATTTTAAAAATCTCAGGTGTATGGCTGAATACTGGGTTGGGTGGTATAAGGAAGAGGAAGGATTTTACGAGTTGAAGGGTGGATCAGAAATAATACAGGAAAATACTTTTGGAATAGGAAAAGGTCTTTGATGTAGCTCAAAAGAAATGTGGATAAAAGTTGTTCAGTTGCAGCAAAATAAAATTGATGATAATTTCACAAGTCTGGAATATGGAAACGTTATGTTTTCGCTTTCCTCGACGACAGTTTCAAGAGAATTTGGCTGATGTCTAACCACCAGCGTATACAAGAAGCCTATGCACACTGATCAATTCTTAACGTAGGACACGCACCATTCACAAACACCAAGGAGGGTTTCCATGGGTTTAACGTTAGCCATAGAACGGCCAAAAATTTGGCCGTGAGACATAAAAATTTTCAAAGTTTGACCGTTTGTCGTAATAAACAAGCAGCATCCCCATATCGACGGGGGAATTATTGGACATCTCAGCCAGGAGAAAGCTTAGTAGGACAGGCTGAATCATTACACGTAATGTCTCTAAATTTGCAAGTAGCACAATCAGAGACAGTAAGTATTTGTCGAGGGCCCTTAGGACTGCGTTTCTCAAACGAGATTTAGAACTTCGAACTCTACCAATTTCAATTTCGTTTTTCCATTTCAATTCCAGTTTTTCAGTCAAATACTTGGTGCCTTCAACATCTAGGGAAGGAATATTGTTTTCTTTTAGAGGTCGTTTGTTTCCTGTTTCGATAATTCTTGATAAAAGGCCAAACGCTAGTCTGCCACAGATTGTAGTTCTTTCTTCAGGTTCCGCCTCCAGCTTTTCGTATTCCATGTGTAGATTGGGCCTCGTTCGGAGCGAGGTTCACTTCTGACTGTTTTGTTCACGTCACTAAGAATTCAGGGTTGATGCTGCTGCTCGTAATATTATTGATATTTTTGCTGTTGTTGTTTTCTGTGCTCATCTAGGTCGTAATTGAAATTTTTTTCTTCATTACAGTTAACCGAGGGGGCATCAGTTAACGATCTTTTAGGTTCACTAGTTACCTTTCAAGTTTCACAGCATATTAAACTTGTAAATTAAAATTAATGATTAATAAGCTAAATACGAGGTCCAGAAAGGCACACTTTTGAAGTGGGGCCAAGCGTAAAGCCTCCCTTTTGAGAACAAATCAATCAGTTTCTTAAATTAAACTGGAAAAATATGTATTTCTCATCAAACGCTTCCCACGCACCCGCTTTGCAAAACAAAAGCGCATTTCGTAAAAGGTCGTACAGTCCAGGATTACAAATGAGACACCTTGAAATCAATTATCGGTAGTAACAATTTGAAAAAAGAGAGAATGCTTCACTGTGCCCTGTTTGAACAAATTGCAGGTAAAGAGCCGTTTCCTCATGCTGCAAATACGAGATTTTTTTTGTTCTGTGCCAATAGTTCATCAATTCAGCACTGAGCTGGTTTGTAAAAAGTTTTGATGTTTGACTTTCATTTTTCTTTCATATTATTAGTCTCTTTAAAATGAGCCTAGGAATCTGATTGGTTATTGTGTTGTAGTAAAAGTCTCATTAATTGGTGGGAAAATATTCGATTTAGAGCAAAAAGTGATGCGATTCATGAATAAACCGCACCAGCGAGAGCCATTCAAATTGCAAGGATCACAAAATCACAAGTTTGATTCCAGACCAAAATTGCACAACAAAAGTTCAGTTAATTACCCCTTGAAAATTACACACATTTTGAAATCAAATAATTCAAATACAAGTCAATTACAGGATTTTGGATCACTACAAATATCTTATTTTCGTTGCCCAAAAAATACTGGTAATTTTATTTTCTTTTAGTTTTGAGGACAAATTGAAAGTTGCAAAACTCGTCTCCCAGTTTCCTCTAATTCGACTTTTTTCTTAAAACATGCTTTGCAATCTGATTGCTTGTTTTCTTTTTAGTATAGCTTTCTCATTGGCTGAGATACAGATATGATTTAGAGAAAAAATAGTGCCATTTCTGAATATTTCACAGTGCTGAGAGCCAATTAGAGTGCAATGATTACCAGTGATTTAAAAATAAATGTAATCATGATAAGAGTTTGTAACTAAGTGGTGTGGTGAAACGAGTGTAACGTTCATTAACCCTGATTGGATTTAGCATTATTTTTTATGACCATTTGCCGCATAAATCGTGTGTTTTACGCTTTTTAAAGAGATTTTTGAGTAACACAGGTATCAAAATGCTCACTTTACTCAGAACATGTTTTGCACAATTTTGTGCCTGATAATTTGAAGACCAAAGGTCAATCCACCATATCGATATTTCACCGTGCATTTAGGAAATCGAATGGCAGTGCAAACCTGTGACAGAAGTAAAAAGCTTCCGGCGGTAGTCATGACGGGGCCGATGCTTTCATAAATTTGTGGTGTGATAATAAAAGAGAATTTGAGTTTATCGTTCCTATTTTCTGTTATAGATTGAAGAATATCCTGACCTAGCTCATCTTTTTTTCTAGCGGTGGAGTGGAGCGTAATTCAAAGACCTCTTATTAAAATTAATTTGGGAGAGGAATACATCCATCGAGTCTTTGGTAAACCGACAAAATTTAACCACACTGACATTAATCATTTAATTTATTTAATAAAAATTTTCATTCAACCGGTTTCTGCGTTTCTGATAACCGAAGACGTACAATAAAGCAAAGCTTCTCTGTATTTACATTCTAGTTCAAATAGACATTACCTAAATTAAAAGGAAAATGTGCATACATTATAGGCACTCCATTGCAATGAAAGATCTCACAAAAAAATGTCTATGTAACAAAATTGTAACAGCATCGAACTGTGGTGAAGTTTTCTTTTAAATACAAGTAAATGGTCAAATGATGATTTCTCACGCTATTCTCCTTTGCAGCAGTGTTTAATTTCTATTGGCTTGCCTACTGGTCGCTGGTCACCACGTGACAGTTTTTGAAGATGCTCTGGTTTGGGCATCCTTTCTACGGCTGCTATGGATTCTTCAAACTGACTAAACTGGTTTCTTTATGTGGTCCTCCTTTTTGGCCGTTGACTTCATATTACAGCATGAGCAAGGCGCATCCTTATGTAAGTATGATGGCAACATTCTCGGCGAAAATCCAGCTTGCCAGTTGAACTGTGGACGATATGGGCTGTGGAAAGCTGGATAAAACAGATTTCCAGGTTGATATTTACTGTACGGTGGCGGTGAAGGTGGAAGCGGAAACTGGTCAAACTGGTTCGGCCGGCTGGTTCGATTGACATCAATTGAGGCTTTTGCTTGTTTCCGTAACTTGGCCCGACGATTTTGGAACCAGAACTGAAAATATTAAATTAAATAATCGTTAACAACTTTCTTCATGCGGCTGAAGGGAAGAATTTCTATTTGTTTTCGTTAATGTAAGGTAAATAATGTGCAAAAACGAAAACATGCCACAGTCTCGAAAGGTTATCTGGGTATCTTGGATTCAATGAATTTTAATAAATTAAATAAGTAATTAAACTCATCAAACCGGCAGACCCTTGTCCTCACACTGAGGTTTTCTGATATTTCCTGAAACCCTGAGCTCAAGCAACCGTGACCTGAAAACTACCCTAAATGCCTCTCGGAATTTTTGTTTGTACTTTTGTCCTTTTTTCCCCTGAAAACCTTTTTCGAAACAGCTGTATACGTATGTAAATAAATATTCCTAATTTTTTTTATTGTGCAAAGAGATTCAATGGCATAAAGCAAAAGCCTTTTACACAGTATTCAAAAACTTAAGTAGACAAATCTTACCCGTACATTCCTTACAGTGAGTCCAAGTTTTTGTACCAATTCGTCTTCGTCCTCTGGCATTAAATATGGTCTCTGTGCAAACACTCTCTCCAGTTCCCAGACTTCTAGAGGTGAAAACGTTGTTCGTTGTTTCCTTTTCATCTTTGGCCGCGCGGTGGATAGACTGGATTGGTTTGTGACGCTGTGTAAGTCAGTGCTCAGGTTGTCGGTGTCAACGCTCGACGAGTGCTCGTAGGTTTGTCGGTTGTCTTCTCTGAAGCTCCCTTTACTGCTCTCGTTGGTTGAGTTATCATAAGCTGAAACAGGACCCAAGGTAAAGGAATGACTTCATTTATTCATGGCTAAATATCTAGTCATTTTATAAACGAACTATAAGCATTTTGAAGGAGGGCAAGGAGGTTATCATTCAGATATTTGATTCCAACAACACAGCTTGGACAATTTTAATCCGATAAACCAATATTAATTTGCAAACCTCGTAGTCTATGTGTTCTACAGTTTCCAAGTAAATTAGCACTTAAGGTCATGTATTACAGGGAGATGGTTTTCTCTTGCGTTAGTCCAAGGAAACCACTATAGAGGGTATAGAGAGTAATAATCCGTGGTCGTGTAACTTAAATTTATTTTACTTTCTGATTGTTCCTCTCGCATCACCCCTTCAACTTATCGGATGCAACATTTTCTTTAGCTCTTTACTGTAAATCTATGTTGATCGTGTCCTAACATGACAGCTATTTGTGTTCCGTTGATCTAGTTTTACTTCTTTCACATTTGGAGGAAAAATATTATCCAAAGACTCATTTCCCTATGACGCTTAATTCACTGAAGATACAATCAGCTACGTCCTTGAACTTCAAAAATAGACGTCACCTATTAAGATATAAGGAACTCTACATACCAGGAGGTAGCGAATATGCCGGAGGCTGAAAGGGGTTGCCTTCAAACCCCAAAATTCGGGATATAGAAAAGGAAACCGGTTGAGTGGAGACTGTTTCTAGGGAAGGTCTGTGCGGAAGCAGACTGGCTAGAGATGAAGGAGCCACAGACGAAGAGTTCAGCGGAACACGAATTGAGATATCCACATGCGAAGCCATCGTTAGTATAAAATAACACGGGATGTGTCTTCTGTCCTGATCTGAGTGATTTGAGTGCAGTTTTGCGGAGTTCTTGTTTATATAGAGGTGTAGCTGTCAAATAAAAAGATCAAAGGCGGCCGATTCTTCGAAGCGTCGTCTTCACCATTCGGCCTTTTCGAAGCCGAACAAAAGAGACTACGTTCCGAAGTTTTTCGGAGCCACCCTTATAGTTCAAGCCCGCAAATTTGTGAGTGCTTTCGCGAGCTAACCTCAGTCGATTCCCGATAATTAAAAACCGCCATTGTTTGAACAAAATTTTATATTTTTTAGATTCTTGTAATTGTAACTTTTCCTCAGAAGTTTAAACGCAAAATCAATTGTCTATTAACTTCAAGTAATTTTTTATTTCCCCTCACGTCATTTCTAAACAACTGTCCCCCTGATAACTTGAATAATCTTTTTCATTTAGCGAAATGAGAATGATTTCTGCGGCGTAGCCCAAGGAGTCGATGATTAAGAAACACTTTTATCACTCTATTAACGCTTTTATTACCTCCGTTGCGAATAACATCCGCAGTAGATACGTGTACTTATTGCGTAACTATTTGGCATCTTTTCTTTTGCTTGTAAAATGGCCGCTATCCTACCGGGGAATATTGACCGATTGACCAGTAGAGTCGCCTCATGGCGTTAAGATCAACAATTTCTATAACAAGCCCCCGCGTTTCTCTAATAAACTTATCCTGAAGCGACACTGCTAACTCGATCTCACCACATCACTTTAAAGGTAGGGGAAGGAGGACGAGACTAATCTTTGCTTGTCGCGGGTAAATGTGACGGTGCAAAGGTAAACCCATTTTGGCACTTTTCCTTTCGTCAGCCATTAACGTCAAGCATCCGATAGTTGTCGTATGTTAAAGATCTCTTCTATTAAAGTTATAAATAGGGACTTTTGGTGATACGCTTGAATCTATCTGTTAGAGACGATTGCGAAGCTGTTAAACGAAAAAAATTTATTCGCAAGTTTACTGGCCGAGCCGTCAGATAAGATTATCATCTTCGGGTAACATGACGTTGGGAAACGTAAACAGTGGTGTTGCATCCTTTAGAAAAGCATGCCGCCGAACGCATGCTTTCTGATGAACCAGTTTTTAGTCATCTTAAGGTTTCGTAGTTACCTCAATGGCATGAAGTATTTTTTAACATCTTTTGTGTTCGCTTTGACTGGATTTTGTGCGTAGTGGAAACTATAGTTATTTATTTTGAGGCAATAGTGAAGAAGCCTGAAGGTGTTTAAGGACATGTTTACTTTAATTTACTGATCAAGGAAGTACCTGTGAAAATTTTTACGACCAGCAATCGATGTATGTCAGCGCATCCTTTATTCACATTGATTTTTTTTTCCCATCGAGTATTTGAGAAATGCATCCGCAATGATCACAGATTAGGCACGTTATAGACATTCCTCTAACAAAAATTACACATCGTGGTTTGTACATTCGCAGCGCAATTTTCACGCAACCAAATGTTGTAGATGGTTTGGGCCTCAAACGTTTCGTTTCAATCGTTTTTTCCTCAATAATCAGCTTCTTATTTTAGCAGACATTTGGGCACTAGCCATGCTATCGATTTAGTCATTCGCTCTGCAGTTAAACATTATCAACCAGCCATTAAGCTGACGTTACTACAGCTTCTACGGTATGTGTTAGGCAAGTGGTTAATACCAATTAAAGAGTTTGTAAATATATTTTTTACAACTAATCGCTGAAATGTCTTCAAAGCGTGCAGTCTGTAATAAACAAAATTAGTAAGACAGATCACGCAGCACGAACGCACAGAGAACTTACCAGCACAGATGGTTATTTAAAAGTGTGTGATGGTTTGAAATTGAACAAATGAGTTAGAAAAAAAAATTGAATGAATGATCAAAAGAGTTAATAGACCATCCACTAGAGCACGTTGGAGAAAGGAAACAGTTAGCAATTCCTTTTGTGTTGATTTCTATTCAAAACGCGTTGACTTATTTTCAATAGCTTGTTGTTTTCAAAAAGCATCGAATTCTGTCTGTTTAGCCTGGTAGCAGGTTCTGTTGCGTACGTTTCGCCTTATGCGCCTTTTACGCCTTTTATGGCTACAGTCGCCGGCCATTATGACGCATTTCTTGGACTACTTTTTTTAGCGGGCTAAAATGTATTACAGATCGCTAGCTTGTTTGCGTGATTGTTCACGCTGTTTTATTGTCATTTTTGTTGTCACTTTCCAGTTTTTTTTTCTTTTTTTTTCTCAACGCCCTTCTAAGTGGTAACAATTTAATAATAATTGTAACACAGTGTTAAGTCATTCGGCAAAAATATCCTTTTAACTCTCGCCCAGCGGCTCGGGCTGAAATGACTCTGTGTCGCGCCCAAAAGATAATTCATACCTGCCAACATTAACTCTATTACTTTTTTACTTTTATTTTGTTTTCATTACGCCGTCAGAATCCGGTTGTGGAAAAAATTACTAACAAACTCTCGTTTGTCATGCTCGTTTTTTTAACGGTTATCTATCTATAGAACAGTCGCACTTTTCCACAGGTTTATAAAGGTTGGATTACAAGGCTTGTCGAAAAGTCAAAGCCTTCCTTAACAGCCAAATTTCATCTGAAACCAGAATTATTTATTTTGTTATTTTTTTGGCTTCTATAGCGCTACCTAGCTGCCACCTTTCCCGAGTATATTACGCTTTGCTTAACCGCACTAAGCAAGAATAGGGACGATTGCATTGTTATTTCACACAAACTTTTCAGTCGCGACATGCAACAACTTACCCACGAAACAAACTGCGTATGACTCATGACACGTGAACTGAGACAGTAAGATTTTCCTATGGACGAATTCGAGTCCTATTGGTCTTAAGCTTCTGTACATGGCCAATTAAAGAGAGGTGATTTTTTCCCGTGATATTCGAGATGCCTTCTCCTGATTAATCACGCCTTTCAAGGAGCAAGAGTCATGCAATGACTGACATCCATTTATACGTGGCAAAATATCTTATAATACACCAATAGGGCCGGTAATTAACACGAGGTCTAACCCAAACTATGGTTTTTTACGAAATCAGTGGGCCTTAGGTTTTCTCTGTAAGAGGGTCGATTTTATCAAGTTAATATCCTTCAATTGTTAGTTTTCGGTCGTCTTTATCCATTTAACTCTCGCCCAGCGGCTTGGGCTGAAATAACTGTGTCGCGCCCAAAAGATAATTCATACCTACTTACACTAACTCTATTGTTTTCTTGTGTTTTATCTTATTTTCTTTACGCCACCGGAATCCGGATGTGGAAAAAATTGCTGAAATTCTTGCATTGACTGACATTCATTTATACGTCACAATACACCAATAGGGCCGGTAATTAACACGAGGTCTAACCCAAACCATGGTTTTACGGAATCAGTGGGCCTTAGGTTTTCTCTGTAAGACTAATCACCCGAGGCTCGCAAGGACCCCAAACTTACCTCACATTGTATTAATTGAAATATTTGAAAACTATACTAACATCAAGACCCAGGTAAGGCTAGGATTTAAAGCAGATGCAACATTTACAAAGTTTTAAAATTTGTTTTGTTTTGGATATTTAGGCTGACGTTGTTATTTTCATAATTTTGTTCAGAACCCTCCCTGGAACTCATTTGCATTTCGCCACGAAATTTTTTTCACAAAAGGGATTTCAAAAATTCTATAACTTTGAAAAGGTTCCGGCCGGTGTTGCTCGCTCTACTAGCTTGGGTCTTACTTCCAGTTTCTCGTTGATGCATGGCCTTCCAAATTTGAACGTTTGGGACTGGCCGCTAGTAAACCTTAAAACGCATTTCGTTGTCAATTTTAGTACCTCTCAATCCCAAAACTTGTCATTTTAATCATTTTATGGGTTTCTGAAGTTTTCTTCGTTCTAGTCATGATGATTTCAATTCCAATATGCATGTTTTTGCATATGCGCAATTTTCAACTGAGGAACAGAAGAGAACTTCACTCCCTTAGTAACAGAGTAACCTCCTCCGCTTCCATAATTTAGATAACAGTTCTCCAAACTATATTTCTCAAAATTTCACTTGTAACAATTTTATACAAAATCAAACATTATCCTCTCCTTGATGCCTCTCTTTCTTCTCAGTAGCTGTCTCCTTGAAAATCTCTTGATATTGTAAGGAATAATTCTGTTTTGGTCTCTCCAGTCCGGAAAGACTTGCAAGTATTTTGCTGTGTTTGTAGATCCTGTGGTACATTTCGCGGCCATGCACCACTTAAAATATCCGCACATTTCTGTAGAAGAAAATGGTCAAACATAAGACAGACCGACCTAGAATGACTTTATTTTCCCGTGAAACGCTTAATTAATCCGAAATTTCCATGATGTTACGCAAATTTCTTTAACCTGCCATCAGAATATTAATTTCTGACTAATTCGTTGCCGTGTCACTCAAACGTCAGAAATTACATTTTTCTCCCAGGGAAAAACTCACTTCCACTAGACCCAAGGAAATTTAAAGCGGTTTTTTTTTGTTGAATTCCTTCGGTTTTGCTTTGCAATTTACGGTACCAATTGCTAAGTTGAAAGACTTACTAAGAGCGTATTTGAAATACGACTGAAAACCTGGCTCACCGTTTTACAGCGAAAAATTTGTTTAAGAGAATTCAGATATTAAATGAATGAAATTACATTAATTAATTCAACATATCAAACTCATGGGGTACAAATAGTCTTAACATGAATGTGGTGACCACGCCCACTTCAACACCCCACTCAAATCAAGTGTAATTTTCGAATGTTTTACCATCGTGCGGATTCTCTACGGAAATAGCACTCAATGTACCTCTGAAATATTAAACTATAATATGGTGGCTTTCTATTTCACTAAATTTCTAACTTGAAGGTAAAGTTTTTCCCTCGTCATTTTTACCTTTTCTTCGAGCGGTTGAGTGAAATTAACAAGGCGTTTTTGATCAAAACACGACCGAGCGAAGGGTCTCGGGCGATATCTCTTTTACGCAGGCGCAAATTAAAAATATACCGCCAGAATCAAAAAGAGGAACAAATTTCCTTTGTTTTGATATGTAAAGTGTCGAACAAAAAGCAGATTTACCCTCGTCAAATGGCGTTTCAAAACAGCTGTATCTTCCTCCTTTTGATTTTTTTCATGTTTTGTAAGCTTGAAATCAGAAAGCGCTTCGGGAATTAATCTGCCATCGTTTATTTACAAGATAAACAAGTAAGATTTGTGAAGTTCGTTGAATTATGAAGTCTAAATAAATGCCTTTTTTAAGTTTGTTTGCTGGATTTTTCGTAAACTTCCCTTATTAATTTTTCGTTTCAGCTTACTAATCTATACTATTTCAAAGCAATGTAAAGACGAAGACGGAGAACCATGAGTCGTTCCTTTCAACAATCGTAAACAAAGTGTTTGAGCAATCAGATATACGAGGTGTACTAATCAATAGCGGCATATCAGAAGTCTTCAGAAAGAAAGTATTCTGTCTTCAGAAAGCTGTCAAGAAAGCTAGTAATCGTGGCGGAAGGTAACTAAATGCACTTCTTAGCAAGTTGGAAACGGGCCCTCGGTATCGATTTAATATCATATCTATCTCAATATCATACAGTTTTGTATCCTTCTTCCGTGGATTCGCCTTTCTAACGAGAGTACATGTTGAGTATTCATTGCAAAATCGCTTTGTTTTTTTAATTTCCCTCTTCGGCCTGTCCACTATTTTGAAAATTTGTAACGGAGAGCATGCGCATTACGTGGGGTTAGTGGTTGCGTACACCTGGAACCAAGAAAAACAAATGTTCGTCACACTGGGGAAAGAGTTTGATATGTGTAAACAAACTCCTCACTTTCAGCTATTTTAGTTACTTATTATGAAGGATTCAAGTTAATTAAACGATTTGCTATAACAACTTCATCTCGAAGACAATTTTTTGCCGGCAACCAATGTGATTTGAGAGAGAGAAAAGAGAGAATTAAAAAGTTATCAATCTGCTTGATTTGCTAAAAAAATGCGTTGCTTGAAAATATGCCCAGTCAGCGAAACGGGATATATTTATGAAAAATGGCAACGGAGGAAGGGATGCACTCGACAACTTACGAGAACGTTACCGTTGCCCTTGGGCAGAGATAGGAAGATCCGGACCGGACTAAGAGCCAATCAGATTGCAGGATGCGTCACCATACCCGCTGAGAAAAAAAGTAAATGGATTTGTGGACAGATGAAGAATCAAAGTATTACTTTTACAAGTATTGACCCTACTCTCCCGATATAGGGTATAAAGTTGCCATTTCATGCCATTTCTCCTTAACTAATTACTTTCTTGTTTTTGGTTTTTTTATTTTTAGGCTTTTTGTTGTTGAATAAGACTACAATTCTTTGAGATACAGGTTACATAATTTTTCCATATTGCCATTTTACCTCATCCACTGTGTGAAATCGCTCTTTCTATGACAACATATATCCTGATTATCAATCATCTCTCTTGTGTCGATTGCTATCGTGTCCTTATACAGAGAAAGTTTAGCGAAACGAGCCAGGAAATCCTCGATTGGATCTGGAGCTAAGTGAATATGCATATCTCTTGTCCCAAGTGTGAGGGCGCTTTCCAGACATCTGGCTACAAAATCTATTAAATTCTTAAAAGAAACTGATCGATCTTCTACCTTTGTTAAACTCAGCGTTAATCCAACTACACATTCTGGCTTCGTTGACCTGTGCCATTTAAGCCTTTGTCTTCGGAAATCTAATAACACTCTTCCTTTTTTAATAGTCTAATAAATTTCTTGTTCGTAAAGATCCCGTAATCCAGTTTTTATTGTGAATGACTATATTAAGGGCTTAATAATGTTGAATAAAGTTGAAGTTGTTTGCTTGTTAGAAAAATAAAGCTAAACTATAATTTTTCACCCTGAAGACGCTTGGACTTTTGGTCTCACCGTATAAACTTCATGAGATTGAAGATTTTTTGCAGGCTTAGTTTGAGCAATTGCTTCAACTGCAGCACACCTTTCTAGAACCTGCACCACCTATACGCACCTCCCGGCTGGTGAATACAATATATATGACGTGTTAAGCATGTGGATTTATTGTTTTGTTGCAGAGACCATTTTGAGCAGCTATATTATTTATTTTGGTTTTAGGGATTGACTGTTGACAAACTGAACAAAACAAACAAAAGAAGCTGCGAAAAAATACGAGAGTATTACATTGAACACTGAAATAATTATTACCACCATGGCAACTGAGACCAAGCTGTTTAACAATCTGACCTGAAAAAAAAACTTCCTATTCTACCTACTTTGGTTTTTAACTCAAAATGACCAAAACACAAAGTCTTTTTTTTGGGTAATTATCTACATTCAAATGACGATCAACAAACTTTATCGATTTGAGAATAATAAAAAGTACCTTACCACGAACAAAATGTAGAGAATTTCGATTGGTATAACAAAATCAGTTTAACAGTATATAATTACTAATTACATATAGTTTACATCTTTACGCTTTCTGACCTTTCTTTTTACACGGCATGATCGTACTTTAAAGCCAACTTTGAGAAAACTTTAGGACTTCATACTGTGATATAGCTGGTAAAAACAACTGAGCTCGTTGCTCAGTAAAACCTTAGGAGAATCCATTTCGATAATTTTCCCTTCGCTGAGCACCATAATTCGGTCATAATCAGATACAGTACTCAGACGATGTGCAATTGTCAAAACAGTACAATGATTCATCTCTTTACAAATGATACTTTGTATGAGTTCATCCGTTTTTGTATCCACACTAGATGTTGCCTCGTCCATTACAATAACTTTTTTACCGAACAAAAGAGCGCGAGCGAAGCAGATCAACTGCCGCTCTCCAACACTGAAATTAGCACCATTTTCTGTCACGTGACAGTAAAGTTGTCCATCTCTATTTACCACAGTCGACTTCAGCTTAACTTTGTCCAAAATTTCCCACAATTCTTCATCAGAAAATTTGTCAGCTGGATCAAGACTTCGACGAAGCACATCATTGAACAGGAAAGGACTCTGAGGAATGACTGCAATCGCGGTGCGAACATCCTGGACGTTGAGATCAGCAACACAAATGCCATCGATTATGATTTCGCCTTCGGTGTTTGCAGGCATGCACAACAAACAAGCTATAAGTGACGACTTTCCAGCGCCAGTCCGTCCAACAATACCTATTTTCTCACCGGCGGCGGCAGTAAAGCTGATATTTTTCAAGACAGGAGGACCCCCTGGGAAATAGCTCAACGACACGTCTCTAAAAGTGATGCAACCATTTTCAGGCCAATCCCTGCGAGTGTGTGGGGTAATTGTATCGTAGCCTGGCTCCGGCTGAAGTTGTGTGTAGCTCAAAACTCGTTCGACGGACGTCATGTAATTCTCCGTCTCTCCGATGGCCTGCAGCATCCACTGAACTGTGTTGGTAAGCTGCAGACAGTAGCTTATTGATAAGCCTGATAAAGCTGAGAAAATGCAATAAAATTTCATTACTGGCAAACACACCACACGTTAAATCCATAAGAAACTGATTCCAAGACCCGAGCAGCGTATCTCCCACGGTAATAATGTTAATGATGTCATTCCTGCTCATCAGCAATTTCTTGAAAAACAGTCAGTGACAGATGGCAAGCGATAGATTCGTGAAGATCTTTGAGGCCGAGATGGATGATCATTCTCTAACGAATATAAAATACTGACAGAAAGAAGAAGTTCTCATATCACATAAAATTAAAAACTTCATACCGATAGAAAATAGAGAAAGAGGAACGGAAGAAATATCAGCCGCCGATCTGCAAGAATCCGAGAAAATATTATACTTCGCCCATTTTTGGGGTCTTTATATCAAAAAGACCTTGAAAGGAATTTCTCAGGTATAAGACAATTTCACTATTATTATTATCACTCGTCGCTGTATAATATTGATCCTCGAAGACTTCTCTTTGAGTCATAGGCACTAAGCGAAGAATGACTACGACATATGTTAGAAAAGAGAATAAGTCATTTACCTGTATCACCAGAAAGAAAAATGGCGGCTAAAGTTACAACAGTAACTAGGACTGAACTTAAAGAATCGAGGCGAATACCAAGCCACTTGAGCGAAGCAGTATAGCAGAACAAAGCTCTGTTGTTTGCATCTTGATAACTGAAAGAAAAAAAATAGTTATCATGGAAAAACGATAATATGAAAAGATAAAGTGGCTTAAGCCATATTACAATAAAATTCAGATATAACGTGCGCTCTCATTGGTTGAAAAAGCATGTTTTATCAGTGTATGAAACAGGGAGCTCAGCTAGCTAAAGCGGTCCTGCCATCTGCCAACTTGTAAAATGCCTGACCATCTCCCGGACTTCGCTAGCTTTTTTTGTTAATTGATCGACAAGCCTTTCATGACCTGTATCACGAACATAAAACCAAGCTCTTGGCATCAATTGGTATAGAAAAACTTTTAGATAACATTGCAAATTGCACAGAAATAGGAGGTGAAATTTAGGAACAAGCGAGCCAGCAAGTGGCAACATAGGCACAAGACAGAAGTTTGTAAACATGCCAAGCGACGTAACTTACGAAATCATAACGTGAGCTGAGACGGAAAGCGAAATAAACTGTCAGGCCGAGTTTTGAAGTTTTCACGCTCAGTTAAATCATCATTTAAGAATGTATAGTGATGAAACTCGAACACAGATAACACTCGTATAGTATGTAAAGTTTCCTATTAAAAAAAAAAACAGAAAAAAACAAGGAATGATGAGAAATATAACCATCCTGGCAAAAATTTGTAAACTGTTAGAAATTTGGACAGATCATGACTGTGTCCGAACGACTGCGATCATGCTGCGGTCCATCGCGATTAGCTCATCATAGCTATACCCAGTCATGGCAGTGAAGCCATGGATTCATGGATTCCACGGATTTCACTGAACATTTCATTTTCAGATTCTGTACTTAGGCTAAAAACTATAAGCAAAAGTGTTTACTTCGACCTGCCGAACTACTTCAGTTTGTGAACTATTGCAGATTGCGAACAAGGATGGTTTGACATTTATGGCAGCTTTAAACTTATTCAACAAATCAGATTATTTGGACTCTTCTCAAAACGATTCTGATTGGCTTATTTTAGTGTGTTCTATGAGAGTATAGAACATGCTGACGACACTTTTGTTTGCTTCAAAAATTAAAATTTGCTTTGAAAATAGAAAGTAATGATTTTAAAGATCAGATGACAACTGCAAATCGGCCTTTAGGTGGTAGAAATAGCGTATTCAAGCATTTCCTCTGTTGTTATTAAATGAAACTAAGTTTCCCGTCAAAAAGTTAAAAAAAACCCTGTATCATCATGCACCAGCCGCTCCCTCTCCCCCCCCCCCCCCCACTACCTTTTAAGTTAATTATTAAATGACGATCTTTCTATTTAGCTTTAAGTTACCTGTAAAAACGGTCCAGGAATACTGCCTCTCTTTTGTACACACGAACTGTCGTGATGCCTTGAATTGTGTCTGTTACGTGTGAGCATACTGGGCTGTTCGTGATGGCTTCAATTCTCTTGATCTCGCGTGCTGTGATTGTATAGCGTTTGCTAACATACAGCGACAGAATTGTGAAAGGCACACTTGCTCCAATGATCCACACGTTAGCAACAGATATCAAAACCAAAATACTAATGGTGAACATGGCGTATTGAACAGACTCTGAAAGGACATAGGGTAATACTTCATCCATGCACCCAACGTCTTTAGCAAAGCGATTTAAGATACGACCAGCTGGATTCACATCAAAGAAAGAAACGGGAGCTCTCAACAGTGAAGTCAGCATGGCGGCATGCAGGCGAGAAGAACTCTTGATCATTCCGTAGAAGGATAGAAAGGAGCGGGTTAAAGCGAAGATGAAGCAGCTACTAGCCAGACCGATGTAGACATAAGCGTTTTCAGCTTTCTGTTGATCTTCCCATGATTGCTTTGTCCAATATGCAAGCCAAAAGCTGGAAGCTAAAACAGCTCCTGTCAACAAGGAAATGGACAGTTTCGAGCCCTTGAGTTTCTTTCGGTGGGTAAATTAAATTACATGTATTATTTATTCATCTTAAACCACTTCAACACACAAAAAATAATTGTTATTCAACGGCAGGGCAGACCATAACAAACTGAACCTTCTTCTGACTACCTATTCAAACAGTCAACAAAATCACCATATGTTTCAGAAATTTCACTCGTTCACTACGACCACTCATTCGATTTCCGTTACCACCTTCTCGGGTGTAAATACCATACGTGCACACTTTCCATGAGGTATTCTAAATGTTGCTCAATAGCTTGATCGATTGATGATGATTTAAAAAAAATTGACCAAAATTTGTGGATAGTTCTTTGAAGTTATTGTTTACACCTCAGCAAAAGTTCCAAGGGCAATAAAAAGTGCATAGAATAATAAAATTTGGACTGAGGGATAGGACAAACAATTTTAAGGCGACTTCAGTGTTGACCATCTGTTTATGGAATTGATTAGAATACATCACAATAATGCGTGAAATTGTAGACGACATCAACTGAAAAAACACGGAAACGCCAAACAGGAGCATGGATCAAAAACTTGAACTAGGATTTATCACTGTGAGGAAATTTAAATCTCAGGAGGTTTCCACAGATTAAGAAAATGTTAGTTACTACCACAGGTAGACCAAACACGCACATTGACCCTCTGTTAATAAGCAAATATGTTTGCATTGCGCAGTGGGCGAAATACCACTAAAACCGAGCTAATTAAAAGGCCCTAACTAAGCTAAAACATCTCACGAGACATAAAGGAACAACCACTTAAGCAAGGTAAGTTTGTTTTTATGCAGAACTACTTCAGAATTCTTGGTTGAGAGTGCGACAGTTTACTCCCATACAAATCCTTGTATTTTTCCCACTGCGCAAAAGCAAACATAGTTGCATATTTGTGGAGGCTGATTGTGCAAGGTTAAGCTACCTGCGTTGGGCAAGGGTCTCTCGAATCAGTTTTCTGCGTTTTTCATGGGTCTTAGCTCCATCTAGTTTTCAAAAGTTGTCCAAACGCTTTCCTGCCTCTTCGGTCTGCATAATTGTCTTGAATTTTCCCTAAACCCGCATCCTTCCTGGTTAGATTGCTTAGATGGCGCGATTTGCTTTCTAGATAAGGTCTCATACGTAAATGTGCTAAGTGTTTTCTGCAATGATTATATTTCACTAACCTTCAGGTAATACTACTAAAGCTCCCCAGATCATTATGAAGAACTTTGACACTCCGTATGCAAGGTACGTCCAATAAGTTTTATAGGAAACGGAACCAGTTAGGCGATCTTCTTCCTCGATTTCCAAACGAGAGGAGTTACCAGTGTTTGTCATCGAGGCTCCATATGGCACCAGATTACTAAAAAGGCCTCTTTCGTTTGCTTTATCAAAGGATGCTGCAGAAATTTCACAGAATTCTTCCAATTCTCTAAGTTCTTTACCTATGCTTTTAGTCATCTTGCTTTCCTTGTCCATCAAAAGAACCAGATCTGTCTTTCCAAGAAAACGAGCTTGATGGGTAATTAACAGTCGGATCCGATCGGACAAAGTGCCACAGATACACCTCTGAAAAATTTCATTCGATACTTTCGCGTCAACAGAGCTAAGCGGATCATCCAGAAGATAAATGTCGGCATCAGAATACACTGCGCGTGCCAAGTTTAGCCGTGCACGCTGACCGCCACTCAAACTTACCCCGCGTTCCCCGACATAAGTCAAATCACCACAGGAAAGAGACTTCAGATCTTCCTTCAGCGAACAAGCCTCGATAGCTTTTTCGAAAGTATCTTGGTTGAACTCCTTTCCAAAAATGATATTTTCACGGATTGTTCCCGAAAACACCCACGGTGTTTGGCAAACGTAAGCAATTTGTCCCTGACGATTAATTTGACCATAAGCTGATGGTATTTCGCCAAGGATAAAGTCAAAAAGAGTCGATTTTCCGCAACCCACCGGGCCTGTGATTCCGATCAACTTACGGTCGGAAATACATAGACATAAATTGAAAGAGTCATCCCTTGGACGGAGTTTAACTCTGTTTAAACAAAGGAACGGCTCGCCTTTATTACAAACATGATTCGTCAGAAAAGTTGGTTCCACCGCTAAAAACTGATTTTCGTTTAATTGTGTTTCGCTTATGCCAGTTGGGTCCTTTGATTGTGATGGATTCCATTTTTGAGTGGAAGATACCGGTACATCACAATTATCGTCAAGAAGAAACGACTCTACTCGTTCAAGTGTTGTAAATGTTTGGAAAAGAGCGCGGATCTCGTATGAAAACAGAACAGTGACTGGTTTTTGGAGTGCACCCAGCAAAGCCAGTGTAGTGAAGACATTTTGAGCTGTAAGGTGATTCCCGGTCATGAGAAACGGAAACAAAGCGACAAAACTAGACACCATTGGGTAACAGGAATATGCCGAGAGGTAACCAGCTAAAATAACTCCTTTCTTGTATACAATGTTGAGCTCTAATCTGAGTGGAACATAATATGATGATAATGGTTAGAACATTCACAGGCAAGTCAAGTAGTTATTCCCAAGTTGGAGTTAGTACGTGGCTTTGCTTTTATGAGGGAATGCGCACTATACGGGTTCTCTACCCGTATAGTGCGCCATTCCATTCCAGAGGTATATATCGGAAGTTAGAGATTTCTGGAACTTATGAATTTGATTGAAATAGTGCTAGACTGATGGTGTATTTAGATAGATTTACTAAACGAGAGGCAATTACTTCCCAGTAACAGCATGCTAAGCTAGTTTGTCTCATATTTCTTTTATGTTAGCCTAATTATTGAAAGACCTACAATGGGAAATCTCGCTCATAACATTACTTTCAAATTCTGTAATTAATGTTTTGCTTCAAAGTCAAGTTTCTACGATTCTTTAAAGGCTCAGGGAGTTCTTTAAAGAGTGTTAACATCGGAGAATGATACCTGAGGCTAAAATAGCGTACAAAAAATGAACAATTGACGGAGAGGAAAATCTTTGGAAACAACCAAGAAAAAGTTTGAGGACAATTGTTTTTTAACAAGGTCAGTGGCGCAGTATTTAAAGTTATCCACCTTGCCGAGTTAATTTGTTAGAATTGTTAATGAATACATTGAGTGAATCTTAAAGAAAAAATACGAACTGACACTTAAGTTGCACGTAAATTGTATATACTGGACTGCCACGTTTTGATGACTGAATTTTTCATTAATTTTTGGGGCTTAAATTTTGTGAATGAAGGACTGTACCTGAACGCAGTAAAAGCTAATACCGCAAAACTTTCATGTCATGGTTAGCAAACTTGAGAATATAAAGATGCGAAATGAATTTACAGTGTTTATATCTAAGGCTGTTTTTCTAGCTCTAATGACGAGTGATTATAATTTTCTTTCCCTATCAAACAAGGTGTTATCAGCATATATAAACCATGAACTGCTTAATTTTTAGAAGAAAACTCATACCTCCTAACTTCGGAAACCAAATCATGAAAGCACCATTCCCAAGCATTCATTTTTAGTACACGTATACCGGAAATGACGTCATGTATCAGACGCAGTCTCTTGTCCGTCATCCTGGCGGCCGTGTCCTGAAGACTTTTGAAAACGTTTCCCAAATTCGCTTGACAGAAGATGAGAGTTATTGAAAAGATCACACCTCCAAATGTTTGCCAGCCGACAAAGTACCACAAAAGAGAGAAAACGAGAATTATCTCCAGAGGAGCAGAAAGTGATTTAAGGTTAGTGAAAAGGTGAAAAATCGGGACCATGTCCTTAGAGATCAAGTTTATCAAATACCCTGAAGTTCTTTCAGCAAGAATATGATGACGCGTGTTCAGAATCTGCAATAAAAGGAAAAGGCACAAGATAATTAATGATGAGTTGAGGTTCAACTTTGAATTTTGTGTATCATCACACCCGCAAAAAAGAAATGTGGATAAAAGTTGTTCAGTTACAACAAGATAAAATTAATGATAATCATGACATTTTGTGACAGGAGTCATATTGTTATCGTTTTCGGTGTGGTTTGCTACATTGCGACTACAGTGCGGTTTCTTCTGTTATTGCCAACCTAAATATGGAGAGTTTTAAGAGCAAGTAATAACTTTATCTGCATGGTTCCACAAATCTGGCCTCCCTTGACACTGCAGTCTCAAGAGAATTTGGCTGATGTCTAACCACCGGCGTATACAAGAAGCCTAAGCATACTGAACAATTCTTAGCGTATCACACACACCTTCCACAATCAGTAACAAGGGTTTCCATGGGTTTAACGTTAGCCATAGAACGGCCAAAAATTTGGCCGTGAGAAATAAAAATTTGCAAAAAAGGTTAACAGTAACAATCACTCTTGTTATGGTAACAGAAAGAAATTAGCTGTTGATTGTAAAATGGATAGAATTTAAGGTTTTAGCCTAATACATATTCGCTTATCAGATGACAGATGCGACATCTATTCACAGTTTCTTTGCTGGTTAAGCTTAACTTATTTTGACATTTAAGCGGCAAAAACTCATCATCCACCTACCTTCTTGTAAACTATGCCAATCAAGGAGGCTTTAACGTGAACTGCCATTAGAAACATGGCATAACCACATTGCTGGGAAACCAACGTTTGAATAAAACAGCTTACACAGAGTGGTATTGAATAAACAAGCAGTATCCCCACATCGACGGGAGAATTATAGGACATCTCAGCCAGGAGAAAGCTTAGTAGGACAGGCTGAATCATCTTACATAATGTCTCTAAAATTGCTAGTAGCACAATCAGAGACAGTAAATATTTGTCGACGGCCCTTAGGACTGCGTTTCTCAAACGAGGTTTAGAGCTTCGGACTCTACCGATTTCAACTTCGTTTTTCCATTCTAATTCCAGTTTTGCAGTCAAATACTTGGTGCTTTCAACATCTAGGGAAGGAATATCGTTCTCCTCTAGAGGTCGTTTGTTTCCTGTTTCGATAATACTCGATAAAAAGCCAAACGTTAGTCTGCCACAGATTGAAGTTCTTTCTCCAGGTTCCGGTACCAGCTTTTCGTATTCCATGTGTGGTTTGTACCTCGTTTGGTGCCTGGTTCACTTCTGACTGTTTTGTTCACTTCACTAAGAATTCAGGGTTGATGCTGCTGCTCGTAATATTATTGATATTTTTGCTGATCTTTTAGGTTCACTAGTTACCTTTCAAGTTTCACAGCATGTTAAACCTGTAAATTAAAATTAATGATTAATAAGCTAAATACAAGGTCCAGAAAGGCAAACTTTTGAAGTGGAGCCAAGTGAGAAGCCTCTCTTTTGAGAAAAAAAATCTATCATTTTCTTAAGCACAAGTTAAACTGGAAAAAAACATTATTTTATCAAAGGCTTCGCAAGCACCCGCTTTGCAAAACAAAGGCGCATTTCGTAAAAGGCCATACATTCCAGGATTATTAATTCAATTTTTGGTAGTAACAATTAGAATCAAGAGAAAATACCTCACCGTGCCCTATTTGAACAAATTACGGGTGGAGAGTCGTTTCCTCAAACCGCAAATATGTCAAACAACGGATCACTATTAGCTTCCGATAACAACAAGTGATAGTGATAATTTTACCGAGGAAGTTACCTATACATTTACTTTTTGCTCAGAAATCAGCACTTTTACTCTTATAGGATTCTGTTGTGAAGTAAGTTGGAAAGGTCATCTTTAATACACATTCTAATCGGGATATGTCTGTGCGCCATTATTTGGCTCTTTCAATGTCGAAGCTCTTTCAATGTCGAAACAAACGTAACTGACCGATAGACTCAAGGGACATTTTATTCTCAAAATACAAGCAACAACATTACAAAGCTTCACTCCGTTAAATTGCAATCGATACATTTTTTCCGCAAACAGCGAAAGGGTTTTGTAAGCATCAAGTAGTCGTGCCGTCTTAATTACCAAAAGAGCCCTCGTGATTTAGTAAAACATCGCGTAGAATGCCTATTGTTCTCGGGACATTTACTTGCAGTAGCGAAAAAATTATAGATCCGTAATATTAGCGGCGAAAGATATACTGGAGAGCTTTGATTGGTCAAAGATTACGCACTCATTCCTCCTCATGGAATATTGCTTAAGCTCATTAACTTGTCAAGGCGGAGCTACGAAACAACTGCTGAGGAAGTTGTTGTTTATGCTATTGTTAGAAGAATATCACACATTACGTGCGTGTGCACAACCTGGAATAGCGTTCGATTTTAAGACCGTTCGTTACATATTCATCTATTTCTTCATCTTACTCAACAATCACTTTGATTCTATCACTACCCGTTTAGGATTTGATTTTCATTGGTAAAATCCACCTGCACAGTTTTTCTACAATAGAAAGGACGTTTTTAGGTCTGTAAGTCATTCTTACACTTGTTTCTTCGAAACGAAATAAAAGTCACTCACGAGGCAGCCAGTAAAAGAGAGCAACTCACGTGCCCTCCTCGTGTTTGAGCTACAGGCTGGTTGGTTCCCGTGCGGGTTCTCTTTGTTTGCGTCTCACAAGCTTTTAGTTCGCCTTTTTCCTTTGGGGAGAAAACGACTGCTACACAGGGTAGCAAAAAAATATTGTCTTCTGTTCACGCGCTTCATTTGTATTCTTTCATATCTTCGCCGACTATGTGACCAACGCGATCGCAGGAGGATTCATTAAGCTTGTAGCCGAGAGGCAGCATGCTCGCTTGGAGTAAATCAAATACTCTATGAGGCAGCCAGTAAAACTCTCTGCATTTCCAAGCTGCTTCACCGCTCATTTGAATCATGTACACTGGATTGCTTTCCACAAGAAAAGGCGGAACAACTTGTATGAGATGAGGGGGGATCGGGGGTTCTATGAGCTCTGAAAAGAACTCCCGTCACGATCATTTTTTCTTTGATCATTCATCATCGCGTGGTTTAGTTGCATAAAGCAGCTGATGCGCTAAGATCATTTTTAAAACTCGCGGTAAATCGTCTATTTTACAAATGAGTGGTTTTCTTGAATAGGCCATTGTTTAGTTTTGACAGCCATTGTTATTCAAGCGTGGGCTTAAAACAATAGTGCCGAACTCGAAACGCGCCATTTTTCGAAAGGAACTTCGACTACAAATTTTAAAACTGCGAGGAATAGTGGTTGCCGTTCACCAATTTCCCAAGTTAAAACGGATTCTGTTTCAGGAAAGATCCATCTTCTATTTCCCGCTCTTGGGTTTTTAGAAGCTGGTTTGAGTTTTTGAAAAATCGCTTTTGAAATCGTCCTTCATACTAAAAATGTCCGTTTTTTCGTCATTTTCAAAAGCTCAGGAATAGTCCTTATACGTTCTCAAACTTCCCCTTTTTAAGCTTAAATTAAGGATTAACCCTTCTTCTTCAAAAACCCGCTCTTGGGTTTCTCAATTTTTTCCTCTGGCAATTGAAAAACCGAATTTTATGAACGCTGCTGAGCTAGTTTCGGCCCTTTCTTCTCTAATTATGGGCTCAATCAGCATTCAGTAATTTTGCTCCGCATGCGATAAGATTTGAAATCACAAGTACAATTTCGGACCAAAAAGGCTCGACAAAAAGTTCAATTACCAATTCAGTTTATCTATTTTGAAATCTCAAAACACAGGACTTTTTGTTCCGTAAAAATAGGTCATTAATCCAGTATTGAGCTGGTTTGTAAAGAGTCGCCATAGTGGTCTTTTCTTTTCCTCTCATATTATTTGTTCTTTTTTTTTAAACGAGCCTAGAAATCTGATTTGTTACTGGGTTGTAGGAAAGGTTTCTCATTGGCTGAGAAAAGATGCGATTTAGAGCGAAAAGTAGTGCGATTCATAAATAAATTGCACTAGCGAGAGTCATTCAGATTGCAAGGATCGCAAAATCACAGGTTCGATTCCAGACCAAAATTGCACAACAAAAGTCCAATTAATTATTACTTGACCGTTGCATACATTTTGAAATCGTAAAATTTAAATACGAATCAAATAGAGGATTTTAGGATTATTAGAATATCCTATTTTCGTTGCCCAAAAATTATTGAAAATTTCAATTTTTCTCTCTGTTTGAGGAAAAAAGTTGCAAAATTCGTCTCCCAGTTTCCTGATGATTTCTCACGCTATTCTCCTTCGCAGCAGTGTTGAATTTCCATTGGCTTGCCTGCTGGTTGCTGGTCACCACGTGACAGTTTGTGAAGTTGCCCTGCTTTGGGTATCCTCTTTGCGACTGCTAAGGATTCTTCAAACTGTCTCAACTGGTTTTTCATGTATGGTCCTTCTGTTTGGCCGCTGACTTCATATTACAGCATGAGCAAGCCGCATGTTTATGTGAGTTCATGGGCTGGTTCGATGGACATCAACTGAGGGTTTTGCTTGTTTCCGTAACTTGGCCTGACGATTTTGGAACCAGAACTGAAAATATTAAGGTAAATAATCGTTAACAACTTGTGTCATGCGGCTGGAGGAAAAGCTTCTTATTGGTTTTCGTCAATGTAAGTTGAATAATGTGCAAAAACGATAAAAAGGAACCAAGTGCTTCGGCAAGATATTTATAGACATACAACTGTTTCGAGAGAGCCTGTCGAAAAAAAAAAAAGACGGAAGTACATGCCACAATCTCGAAAAGGTTATCTGGGTATCTGGTATTCAATGAATTTGAATAACTGAAATAAATAATTAAACTCGTCAAACCGGCAAAGCCTTGTTATCTGAGATTTCCTGAAACCCAGAGCTCAAGAATTAACTTGCAAAACTTATCGTCTGTGTGTTCTACACTTTCCAAGTAAATTAGCACTTAAGGTTACGTATCACAGGGAGATGGTATTCTCTCGTGTTACTCCAAGGAAATCACTTTAGAGGGTGTAGAGAGTAATTCTTAACTGTCAAACATTTCACTATGACGCTTATAAATGACTGAAAATACAATCATTTACAGCCTTGAACTCTCGTTCACTTTTCTTCGTGAATAGCGTTCAAATTGATAGTCAGCCAAAAATGCTAAATCGTTAAAAAATAGACTTCACCTCAAGATATAAGGAACTCAACTTACCAAGAAGCAGCGAATATGACGAAGGCTGAAAGGAGTTGTCTTCAAATCCCAAAATTCGGGATATAGAAAAGGAAACCGGTTGAGTGTAGACTGTTTCGAGGGAACGTCTGTGCGGAAGCATAATGGCTGGAGACTTTCGAGATGAGGGAGCCACAGTCGAAGAGTTCAGCGGAACACGAATTGAGATGTCCACATGCGAAGCCATCGTTAGCATAAAATAACACGGGATGCGTCTTCTGTCCTAATCTGAGTGATTTGAATGCAGTTTTGCGGCGTTTTTGTTAATATAGAGGTGTAGCTGTCAAATAACAAGATCAAAGGCGGCCGATTTTTCGAAGCGTTGTTTTCACCATTCGGCCTGTTCGTGCCTTTCGGAAGCCGAAAAAAAGAGATTGCGTTCCGAAGTTTTTCGGAGCCGCCCTTATCGTGCACGCACGCAAATTTGTAAGTGCTTTCGCGAGCTAACCCCAGTCGATTCCCGATAATTAAAAACCGCCATTGTTTGAACAAAATTTAATATTTTTGAGATTTCTGTAATTGTAATTTCCTCAAAAGTTTATACGCAAGATCAACTGTCTCATACTAATTTCAAAAATTTTCATTTGCCCTCACGTAATTTCTAAACAACTGTACCCTTGATAACATGAGTAATCTTTTTCATTTAGTGAAATGAGAATGATTTCAGTGGCGTAGCCCAGGGAGTCAATGGTTGAGAAACACTTTTATCACGCTATCAACGTTTTTATTACCTACGTTGCAAATAACAGTAGACACATGTACTCATTTCATAATTATTATGTATCTTTACTATTGCTTGTAAAATGGCCGCTATCCTACCAAGGGATATTAACTAATTGACCAGTAGAGTCGCCTAATGGAGCTAGGATGAACAATTTCTATAACAAGCCCCCGCGTTTCTCTAATTTAACTTGTCCTGTAGCGACACTGCTAGCTCGATCTCATCACATCACTTTAGAGGCAGGGGAAGGAGGACGAGACTAATCTTTGCTTGTCGTGGGTAAATGTGACGGTG